CCCGCAGGTAGCGCACGCGCATGTCCAGGTCCTTGTCCTCGACGGTCTCGAGGGCCCGGGACGCCGTGTCCAGGGGCTCGATGGCGTAGCGCGCCGCGCCGTCCCGGAGCAGCGGGTGCACGATGCTCCAGAGGTAGACGGAGCCGTTGTAGACGAGGAAGTCGTAGCGCGGCCGGTTCACCTCCGCGGTCGCGATGCGCAGCGCGTGGAGCACGTAGGACACGGCGAGGCGCCGCCGCTGGACGCCCGCGGCGCCGTGGAGGGGCTCGGCGGCGTGGCCCTCGACGAGCGCCTGCACGAAGAGCGTCCGGCAGAGGAACTGGTCCTCCGTGCCGCCCGCGTCGAGGAAGAAGGTCTTCGTCACCTCCGCGGCGATGTCGAAGCGCTTGTTCTTCACGGCCGCCTCCGCCGCGAGCACGAGCAGCTCCGGCGACCCGAGGTTCGCGCAGCCCGTGAGCAGGTTGCGCTGCTCGCGCGCGAACTTGAGCTGCTCGTAGGTCTCGACGAAGATGTCCGCGGCCTTCTGCAGCGCCTCCTCGCGCGCCGTCGGATCCATGCTCACGGCGCTCTCCGTGAGCGCCACGGACTCCCGGAAGGAGCTCCGCAGGTTGTGGTCCATGGCTGCCGGCCCACCCAGCGGCGGCGGCGCGCACACAGCCTCGGCTGTTTTAGCGCTTGGCCCTGGGCAGCCTAGGATTTTGTCTGCCTTGAACACGATGATGCACTTATTTTGAGTTTCGGAGCAGCCTCGTCAAACTGGCATGGACTCGTCGCTCGCGGCGGACGTCACCGCTGCCTTCGCGCGGCTCGTTGCAACCGGCCTCTCGCCGAACGAGGCAGCGGCCGCGGCGCTCCTCGAGGCCGCGAACGTCGCCGATGCAGCCTTCGACGCAGCCCTCGACGATTTGGCAGCCTTTGATGATCTGGCGGATTTGGATGCATCGACGGGCGCTTTAGACGCAGCAGCTCCGGACGTCGCCGCGGCGACCGCCGAGGCGCCGCGCGCGCCCTTCGACGTCGAGCTCGACGCGGCCGTGCTGACCGTGCGGTGCCGCGCCGCCGTGCGATGCCGCGTCGCCGGGGCCGTCGTGCCGCCGGCGCCCGCGGCGCCGCCGTGGCTCGCGGACGTGGCGGCGCTCTACGAGGTCGTCAAGCGCGTCGAGTCCATCCTCAAGCTCCGCGGCCCGCTCGGCGGCCACGGCTGGAAGTGCGGGCCGACGATGGGCGGCACCTACTGCGACTGCACGCCGCCCCTGGCCTGGCCCAGCTACTACTCCCTCGTCGGCCACGCCTACAACGCGTGCCAGGACGTCGCGCGGTCGCACCACCAGATCGCGAGCTACCTCGAGGCCTGCATCGCGGCCGCGGGCGCGGGCGACGTCGTCGAGCTGCGGAGCGACCGGCTCGAGGCGCTGGAGACGCTGAAGACGCGGCGCCGCGCGGCCGCGGAGGCGCGCAAGGCCGCCATGGGCCTCGTCGTCGCGCGCTGCGGCGCCGCGGTCGCGCGGGCCGTCGACGACTTTTTGCGCGCCCGGCCGCCGCCGCCGCCGGAGGAGGACGCGCGCGTCCCCGGCCTCTGGTACGAGGGCGACCTCGCCTGCGTCGTCGTCGGCAAGCGCGACTACGTCGTGAAGGTCGTCTCGTCGGGCCGGCGCCGCGTCGCGGTCGCGTACGTCGGCGAGGACCGCGCGGCCAGGGTCGACTTCGAGCCCGGGGAGCTCCTCCCCTACGACCTCGACGAGCGCAACAAGCTCCGGGAGCGAACGGAGAAAAAGAAGCGCCCCGCGCCGCCAGAGCCGCCCAAGGCCGCGAAGAAGCGGCGGAAGAAGGCCAAGCCGCCGGCGGTGTCGTCGAAGAAGGCGGCCGCGAAGCCGCCGGCGAAAGCAGGCGCGTCGAGAAAAACGGCCGCGACGAAGAAGAAGGCGGCGACGCCGTCGAAGGCCGACCGCGCCGCCGCCGCCGCCGCCGTCGACACGGAGCGGCGGCGCGCGAAGCCGCCGCCGCCGGAGCCGTGCCCGATCTGCTACGACAGCTTCCCGCGCGACGACCTGCTCCGCTTCAGCTGCGGCCACGCGGTCTGCCGGTCCTGCGGCGAGCGGCTTGCGGAGATGCAGGTCGGCGCGCACGGCGCGACGCGGAACCGCCTCACGATCCGCGCGTGCGCGCTCTGCCGGCAGACCGTCTCCGCGGCCATCGTCGTCAAGCAGGAGTCGCCGCCCTAAAAATTACCCTGGGTGCGCGTGAAGGCGACCCAGTCGCCGCCGACGTCCGCGTAGTTCTCCGGCTCGCGCTCCGCGGCCGCGAGCTCCGCCTCGTCGACGAGGACGTACATCCACGCGTCGCCGCCGCCCGCGAGGTCGACGCGGTCCCGCCGGTAGTGGTGCGGGTGCTCCTCGAGCTCGTCGACGGCGGCGAGGTCCTCCGTGGAGCAGACGTAGAGCTCGCCCGCGAGGCGGCTCAGCGCGGCGCCGAGCCGCGCGCGGTCGGCGGCGATGGCGTAGGGCCACGTGTACGGCGCCTCGCGGAGCCGGCCGTTCGTCACGAGCGCGTACTCCGCCGCCGTCGCCGCGTCTCCGACGAACACCGCGCGGCCGAGGTAGCCGTCGTTGAAGAGGCCCCGGCGGAGGCTCCCGTAGGTGAAGACGCGGTGGAGCGGGACGCGCCGCAGCGCCGCGACGGCGTCCGCGTCCCAGATTTGTGCGTCGCCCGCCGCGAGCCGCGCGTCCGCGGCGCCGTCCGCGAGCGCCGCCGCGAGCGCGCCGACCGTCGCGAAGCCCGCGGCCCGCGTCGCCTCGACGAAGGGGCCGATGGCCGCGGGCATGGTCCAGGGCGCGTCCCGCCGCGTGTTGACCTCGACGGCGAGCGACTCGAGCGACAGCGTCCGCGGGTCCTCGACGGGGTAGCGCCACGCGCCCCGGAGGCCCCGCCGCGCGCAGCGGATCTCGAGCGGCTCGCCCGTCGGCCAGCCCGCGGTGCGCAGGTGCGCGACGATGGCCGCGCGGTAGGCCTCGCAGGGCTCGGCCGTCATCGCCTCGGTCCACTCGGAGACGCCGTCGCCGGCGACGTAGGCGACGGCGCGCGCGGGCGTCCAGACGTCGCCGTCGCGGACGTCGACGTCGATCTCGACCTCGCGGTACTTCGGCTTCTCGAAGGCGTCGAGGAGCAGCTTCTCCTCCTCGGAGAGCAGCGCGAGCGAGCCGCGCGCGCCGTCGCCGGGCGCGAGGCTCGCGACGCCGCCGCGCTGCCAGTTCGGCGCCTCGAGGCAGAAGACGCGCGAGAACGCCGGCGCGCGCGCCTGCCGGAGCGTCAGGGCCGGGTTGCGCACGCGCGCGCGGAGCTGCGCGACGCCGTTGGACCCGTAGTTGAACACGGCGACCTTCTTCGGCGCGAGGGCCGCCATGGCGCGGCGCAGCACGAGGGCGAACGTTGTCGTCTGCAGCAAGCCGAGCGGCCTCCGCGACGTCGTGAACGGCCTCCGCGACGTCGATGACTGCGCGGTTGCTGCCACACGACGGCACTGGCGGCGCGCGCCGGAGAGCACTGGCATGCTCTCAGTGGAGGTCTTCAACTGATGTGCAAGGTCTGTTCGCGCGGGATCTCGCGAGCCGGGGGACACGGGTCTCGCCGTTGGCGCGCTGCGGTTGCTGCAGCGGCGCGGCGGCGTGGCGGTACTGCGGCAGGCGCCGGAGAGCATGCTTGCTCTCCGTCACGGTAAAGTGAAGACTTCAAACTTTCAGCTACGTCAGGCTATGTTCAAGGTGATTATCGCGCGGGATGATCTCACGCGAGCTGGGGGACACGGGCCTCGCCGTTCACGCGCTGCGGTTGCTGCAGCGGCGCGGCGGCGTGGCGGTACTGCGGCAGGCGGCGCGGCGGCGGCGCGGGCGGCGGCGGCGTCGTCGCCCAGGACACGTAGCGCGCCGCGGACACGGCTCCAGCGCCGATGTAGCGCACGTGCTTCACGGGTCGCGCCAGGAGGTGGCCCGCGTTGAGGGCGACCTCGCGGGCCAGCGCCAGCGGCGGCGCGATGATGCACGCGGCGAGGAGGACGCCGAGGCGGCTCTCCGCGTCGTCGTCGGGGACCGGCTCGCCGCCCTCGCGCGCCTCGCGCCAGAGCTCGCGCGTGCGCGCGACGAGGACGGACGCGAGGAGCGGCAGGTGCGCGACGACCTTGACGAGCGTCGGGGGCTTCTCATCGCGGACGACGATGCGTTCTGCGAGCGACGGCGCCGCGAGCGGGGACGACTGCATGCACGGCACCCGCGGCACCTTCGTGAACGCTTCGACGCGCACGAAGCGCACGAAGAGCATCGCGATGACGATCTGGAGGATGAGCGGGTAGGTGGAGTGCTTCATTTGAAATCAGAGCGAGTTTTTTGGCGTTTCGCGAAGCAGCGAAACTTGGCTGCGTGTTGCGGGTGTGGTAGGTGGAGACGCAGAGGGCGTTGAGGCTCTGTCTAGGTCGAATGGGTCGGCGTCGGACGCGCTTTGAGTGGACTTCTGTCTGGCGCTCGAGAGCTCTGAGCTCTGCCGCTGGTTCTGCCGAGACATTCGTGATGTTGACGCCTCGACTGGGACCCCCGGCCAGCCGGCGCGCCTCGGCAGGCCACCGCTGCCACTGAGCGGCTCACAAGCAGCGAGATTTAGAGCAGAGTCAAGGAGAGAGAGAGAGAAGAGTTCGAGGCGCAGTGGGATTTTTCCGTCCGCTGCGGCTACATGACCGCGCACTTGGCCGGGGCGCGCTCGCGCCGGGCGCGGGGCGGCGTGCCCAGCTCCGGCGGCGGGCTCGTCCGGCCGGACGGGTCCGGCGCGATCTGCGTCACGGTGACGACCTCCGCCACGGGCGTCGACGGCTCGGCGGTCGTCGTCTCCCAGGGCGTCGGCACGGTGGAGCCGTCGCCGAGGGGCGAGCCCGGCCGGAGCGGCGCGGGCCGGAGCGGCGCGAGGAGCCGGGGCCCCGGCGCGACGACGCGCGACGAGTCGCCGCAGGGCGCGGTCCACGCGCGGGCCGCGCGCTTCTTCTTCGGCCGCGGCCCGTCGCGCAGCGCGACGACGATGTCCTCGGCCGACGGCCGGTCGCCGGGCTCCTCGGCCCAGGCGGCCTCGAGGCAGTGGCGCGCGCGCGACGCCGTGCACCGGAGCCGGCTCGGCCGCGCGTGCGTGTGCGTGTGGACGCGCCGGAGCTCCTCGACGTCCTTGAGCGCGTAGGGCGGCGTGCCGTTGAGCATGTACCAGAAGACCATGGCCCAGGAGAAGACGTCGACCTTGAGCGAGTAGGGCTCCTCGCGGAAGACCTCCGGCGCCATGTAGCGGTACGTGCCCGTCGTGCCCGTCATCGTGTACATGTCGTTGGCGTTGGACCCCGGGAAGAGTCTTCCGAGCCCGAAGTCCGCGAGCTTGACCCGGCCGTCGTCGGCGATCAAAATGTTCGACGGCTTCACGTCGCGGTGGATGATCGCGGGCCGCTGGCCGTGGAGGTAGGCGAGCGCCTCGGCGAGGTGCCGCGCGAAGTTGCGCGACTTCTGCTCCCCGAGCCCCCGCTCCTGGCGCCGCCGCATGAGCATCTCGAGCGTGCCGCCGCCGCAGTGCTCGAGCACGAGCACGGGCCGCTGCGGCGGCGTCAGCGACGCCGCGAGGAGCCGGACGATGTTCGGGTGCTCCAGCGTCGCCAGGAGCGCGAGCTCCCGGTAGCCCTCGCTCAGCCGGCTCTCCCAGGACCGCTTCGTGACCACGCGCCGGCCCCGCCACGTCGCGAGCGCGACGCGGCAGTGCTTCCGGTCGAGGATCGCCGCGCCCGGCGCGATGCTCTCCGGGTCCGTGAGCAGATCGTCGAGCTTCGCCTCGACGACGACCTCGGCGCTCCGCCCGCCCTCGCACGTGCCGGCCGGCGACGCCACGGGCGTCGCGGGCAGCGCGCGGACGCGCTCCGCGGCCTCGACGATGTTGATGCGGTCGATGCGCCCGCTGCCGCGCGAGTCCACGGCCTCGACGCCCCTCCCGAGGCCCGTCGCCCCGATGGACTCGCCTAAAACCGACGCGTCGACGGCGACGGCGCGCGGCAGCGGCGCCATGAGCTCGAGGTCCGCGGCGTGCTTCTTCTGTTGTGCCGCGAGCGCCTCCCGGAGCGCGTCGGCCTCCGCGGCCCGCGCCTCGAGGGACGCCCGGTCCGCGAAGGACGCGCGGCGCGACGCGTCCGCGTCGCCGGGCGCCCCCGGCGCCCGGGCCGCGTCGATGCACCGCTCCAGCTCGCTCGGGGGCTGGGCGGGCTGGCGCCAGAACATCATGGTCGGGTTTTTGGGGGTCCGGGGGCAGCCCGCGACGAGGGACGGCGGGGAGCGGGCCGCCGGAGGCCGCGCTCGTGGGGGTGGGCCCGGACCCGCTCCCTGGATCGCGAGATGCGCGGTGTGGCCACGAATATGCGGGAGCTCGCCCGAGGATCTGAGTCTTAAGACACAAGCGTTTCGGGCTCCTGCGCTGCGGAGGCCAAACTGGCCTGCTTGACCTCCTGCTTGAAGCTGACGTTGTCCGCAAAAGCTGCCGGATGTGAAGCCGGATGCATGATCGAAGTCATGATCGCGTCCACCGTGGTGGGCGCCCAGATCAATTCCAGGGGTCTTAGGCCAACCAGGAGCGCGCCTCCGAGAGGCGCGCTCGGGTCGCCGGGGGAACATGACACTAGCGAGGGAAGGGCATGCGGGTACAAAAAGGGGGGCCGCGGGCTCCAGGGCGTTCGAATGTGTCGGTGCTATGTACAGGTGGTTCGAACCGTCCGAGCTCCTCTCGGCGTTCGGATGCGTCGCCGGGGCGTCGCGCACAGGTCACAACAAGGGCGCGGGCCTCGGCGGCGCTCCGCGACGGGGCCGGCTTAGGCCTCCGAGGGGATGACGACCGTGCCGCCGCCGATGCCCTCGCCCTTGGCGACGATGTCCTCGACCTTGACGTCGCTGATGGCGCCGCCGTGCTTGGAGTCGTCGAGGCCCGTGGCCTCGACCTCCGCGGTGACGCGGAGCTGGCCCGTGGCGGAGAGCGTGCCGAAGAGGATGGTCATCGTCGAGCCGACCCAGGCGAGGATGACGCCGATGCAGGCGAAGGCGGCCGCGAAGGAGCCCGTCGCCTTGCCGCCGTAGAAGATGCCCGCGCAGTCGTCCTTGCGCTCGCTGTAGTACGACACCGTGTAGTAGTACGGCGTGGCGAAGAGGCCGGCGGCGATGACGCCCCACATGCCGCAGGCGCCGTGGACGGCGAAGGCGTCGACGGCGTCGTCGATGCCCGCCTTCTTGACCGCGGTGGACGCGGCGACGTAGACCGGGCCCGCGAGCGCGCCGATGATGACGGCGCCCGCGGGCGAGACGACGGCGCAGGGCGACGTGATGCCGACGAGGCCCGCGAGGACGCCGTTGTAGACGTAGCCCGGGTCGATGTAGTGGAAGATAGCGTAGCCGATCGCGGACGTCGAGAGGCAGCCGGCCGCGGCGCCGAGCGTCGTCGTGACGGCGACGTGGGCGGCGGACTGGGCGTAGCCGTCGATGTAGAGCGTCGAGCAGCAGTTGAAGCCGTACCAGCCCATCCAGAGGATGAAGATGCCGAGCGCCTGGTAGACGGGCTGGCCCTCGGGGAGGTTGTCGGGGAAGCCCTTGCGGGTGCCCATGAACTTGGCGGCGATGATGGCGGCGACGCCGCCGGTCATGTGCACCGTGCCCGAGCCCGCGAAGTCGATGACGCCGCAGTCGCCGAAGAGGCGGCCCGCGGACGCGTCGTCGGCGTCGTCGTTGTGGGGGCGGCTGGAGAGCGAGCGCCAGGCGGAGAAGCGGCCGGCGCCCCACATCATGTGGACGACGGGCGGGTAGACGAAGCCCGTGAGGACGACGGAGTAGATGGCGTAGGCCGTGAACGTCGCGCGCTCCGCGATCGCGCCGGAGACGATCGTGCAGCCCGCGCCCGCGAAGGTCCAGCCGAAGAACCAGGAGGCCTTGGCGTAGGCGCTCTTGTTGGCGGTCGACGTCGAGAGGAAGAGGGCGCCGTTGCCCGCAAAGCCGTTGCTGCCATCGGACGTGAAGTCGTCGCCCGTGCCGCCGGCGAGCGACGAGCCGATGGCCCACCACATCATCGCGGCGATGCACCTACGGGAGCGCGCGGGTTGGGGCGGGGGCGGGGGCGGGGGTGGGGGCGGGTTGGGGCGGGGGTTGGGGCGGGCCGGCGGGAGGGCGGCGCGCGGGCGCGGGGCTGCCCCGCGGCTCGGAAACTGGCAGTTGCACTTCGCGCCGCGCCAAAGCGCCCGGGGCACAGCCTCCGCGCGTGTGGGGGAACCGCGCCGGGCGGGAGGCGGTCGGGGTCCGGCGGGCGGGGCGGCGGGAGGGGGCGGCGGGCGGGCGCAAGGGCTGCCCCGCGGCTCGGAACTTTGGGTTGCCCCTTCGCGCCGCGCCAAAGCGCCCGGGGCACAGCCTCCGCGCGTGTGGGGGGACCGCGCCGGGCGGGAGGCGGTCGGGGTCCGGGGGGCGGGGCAGCGGGAGGGGGGGCGGGGCAGCGCGGCGCGCGCGGAAGAAACAGTATAACGACGGTTTTCCCCGCGCGCTGAAAAAAGGGACGCCGCGGCGCACGCGTCGAAGATGTTCTTGACGAGGATGTTCTTGGTGTTCTTCTTGGAGACGGAGCCGACCTCGAGCATGGCGAAGCCCGCCTGCATCCAGAAGACGAGCACGCCGCCAAATAGGAGCCAAAAGGCGTCGATGTCGCCCGTCTCGATGAGCTTGCGGTGGCCAGCGAGCTCGCCATTGAGGGTGTCGATCTGCTCCTGGAGGGAGGCGATGGTCGCGGCGAAGTCGATGGGCTCGGCCATGGTGCTTGGCGTTGGGCAGCGGCTGACGAATACTCAAATTGAACGTCTGTACGTCTGCCCGCGAAAAAAAGTTGCGTTGTGCTGCCTGCTGGTATCTTCTGCGGTAGATATTTCGCTGCTCGCTCGCATCGTTCCTCGGAGCTATGGCGGGCTGCGAATCCGATGTCGCCTATCCGTACGTCGTCGGTTACGACGAAGCCTTCGACTTCTCGTGTGATCCGAGAGCCGCCCGATACGATAAGTCTGCACTATTCCGCTCAACTGACTAACTACGTGCGAACGCCCGACCGCCCCTCGTCGACGACCACACGACCCCTCCCCCTTTCGCTCGCCCGGTCCTTCGGGACAAAATTTTCCCGCCCTTCGGGGCTTCGCCCCTCGGGGCGCCGGGGAAGCTGATCCTCCCCCCGTGGGCCTTCGGCCCCTGCTGGGGGGCAGCCCCCCACCTACTTCGGCTTCTTCCGTCCGAGACCTACAGGCCGTGTGTGCTCTTGTGCATGCGGCTTCTCCGACGCTAAATAATAAATAATAATAATACTAACCCACCACAATCTTCTAGGGCAGCCGTCCATAGAAGCGCGCCAAAGTTTCGAAACGAATAACTAGGCTACAGCCTCGGTGGCGTAGAGCGGTTTGTTTGCCTATGGACGCATCAACCATGGACGCCGCAGCGCGCCTCGTCGCCAAGTTCCGCACGGCCTCGGCCCAGGACCTCGCCCCCGCCCTGCTCTTCGGCGGCGCCTACTTCTTCTTCAACCGGCTGGCCAAGCTCGCCCAGCGCTGGATGCAGCGGCGCAAGGCTGCCCCGAGGAGCAGGAAGGCCGAGGGCACGAAGGCGTTCTACATCCTCGGCGGGCTCCTCGCCGCCGCGCTGGGCGTCCAGGGCCTGTGCTACTACCGCTACGGCCCGCTCTTCTTCGTCGCCGAGGACGCGAAGAAGCTGGACTGGACGGGCGCGGACTGGCGCGCGGCGCTCGAGAACCGGACCGTCGCGTTCGTCGGCGGGCACCACCGCGCGGGCACGACCATGCTCTGGCGGTCCCTGGCGGGCCACCCGGCCGTGGCGTCCTTCGGCGAGCGCCGCGAGTGCGGCCTCGACTTCTCGGAGGGCGTCTTCGCGCAGGACGTCTACCCGCGCTTCGGCGTCGGCGACACCAAGGACGCGAACCCCCTGACCATGTTCGGCGACTTCCTCGGCGCCGGCGACGCGGAGGCGGAGGAGGCGCCGAAGACGGGCCTGGGCAAGTACGCGCTCGGCCGGGTCGAGGACGTCTACTGGACGGAGAACCACTGGTCGGTGTCGGACGCGTCGCAGGCCCGCCTCCTCAACGCCTTCGGCTACCTCTGGGAGCGGCGCGCGAAGCCGCCCATCGCCGAGGCGTCCGTGCTCCTCGAGAAGTCGCCGCCGAACGCCGTGCTGGCGCGCTACCTCCAGGCCGTCGTCGACTTCCCGACGGACCGCCGCGCGGCCGAGCCGGCCGCGGCGACGACCTGCGCCGCGGGCGACAAGGCCTGCGACAAGAAGCTCAAGAAGAAGAAGCGCGGCCGCCGCGACGCCGAGGAGTTCGCGCCGGCCATGCCCGCGGCGCCGCCGCGGCCCGCGGCGTCGCGCGCGCGCTTCGTCTTCGTGAGCCGCCACCCCATCGCCAACGCCGTGAGCCACCAGTACGTCACGACGGGCCTCGCCATCCCCGACCTCGTCGCCCACTGGATCGCCGTCGCCACCTACGCGAAGACGAACGAGGCCTACCTCGCGCACGTCGTCTCGATCCGCCTCGAGGACTTTTGCGCGTCGCCGGCCGCGCACCTCCTCGACCTCTGGGCCTTCCTCGGCCTCGAGGGCCACGACGCCGCGACGGCCGCCGCCGCGGCCAAGTCCGTGCGCCCGGACCCCAACGCCAAGCACAAGGCCGAGTACTGCGGCCCGCTCGTCGCCGGCGACGCGGCCGCCGTCGCGCAGCACGACTTCCTCTCGTCCCACTTCGGCGACCAGATCGAGCGCGACCACAACTACACGATCCGCGACTGGTGCTGAAGCTTGCCCCCGTCCTGTATGTTGCACATAACCTTCTAATACATGTCCAAGCCGAGGCTCTCCTCGATGTCGTCGATGTCGTCGACGTCGCGGTAGTCGTCCTCCTCGGGCTCCGGCGCGGCGTTGCGCGGCGCCGCGGGCACGGCGATGGCCGCGACCTCCTCGACGGCCTCCTCCTCGAGGAGCTCGAGCGTGACGCGGGGCGCCAGCGGCTTGCCCTCGCGCGCCTCGACGGCGACGACCGAAACGTCGACCGCGTCGCCGACGGCCGCGAAGTCGACGTCGCGGTCCCCCCGCGGCACGAGGCCGAAGGCCGACGCGCCAAAGTCGACGACGGCGCCGTAGCGCTCGCGGCGGACGACGACGGCGCCCCGGAAGGTCATGCCGACCGCGAGGCGCTTCGCGAGCGCCTTGCGGTCGCCGCGCTTCCGCCGCGTCGCGGCCGCGCGCGCGCGCTCCGCGGCGAGGACCGCGGCGTCGACGGGCTCGAGGCCGACCTCGAGGCGGCCGCTCTGGGGCTCGGGCTTGCGCACGTAGACGCGGTCGAGGACGTCGCCCGCGCGGAGCACGCGCGTCGTGCCCGCGGCTTTCACGGGCGCGGACGCGAGCGCGACGCCCGGCGGCAGGCGCGAGCCGCGGAGGCAGGCGCGGAGCCGCGCGCCGCGCCGGCCCGGCCGGCCGAGGCCGTGGACGACGGGCACCTCGAGCCACGCCGCGCGCTTCGTCAAATCGGCGATCCTCGCGGGCCGGAGCTCGTCGCCGATCTCGAGGTCCGCGAGCGCGAGGCGCGGCGGCGTCGGCTTCGGCGGGAAGGGCGACAGCACGAGCTGCGCCGACGCCGGCCGCGCGGCGACGACGTAGCAGGCCAGGGGCTCGCCGGACGACTTCGCCTTCCGGAGGTTCGAGCCGAGCGTTTTGTAGGCGGCCGTCGCGTTGTTCCAACGCCGCCACTTGGGCATGCGCAGCAGGCCGTTGACGGGGCGCGCGTCGCCGTCGAGCGTGCGCACCGCGCGCACGTCCACGAAGCACTTGACGCCGCGCGCGCCCTCGAAGACGGGCGAGGCGAGGCGGCCCAGCAGCTTGTCGCCTTTTTTGAGCGTCGCGAGCTCGAGCGCTGTCGATTTCGCGCGGAGGGCGATCACCGGTGTGCGGCGCGGGATTGGCGTGGTAAAGGCGGCTGTGAACGCGGTCAAAATGGCAGCGAGGGCGGCGCGACGACGCTCCATCGCTTCAAGCTTTGCGTGTATTGAAGTGCACCTTCAGCCCAGCACCGATATCCGGCCTCGATGGAGGGAAGCGCAGTGGTCCCTCGCCCGGCCCAAGCCTCCTGGATCCACGCCGACACGGTTCGGCGACTGCTCACGAAGCTTGGGGTGGACATCGACAAACAAGATGCGAACGGACGCACACTGCTCCACGAGGCCGCTGCGAAGGGTGACACCTCCCTGGTCGCAGCGCTCCTCGCGGCGGGCAGCATGGTCGAGCGACGGAACCCCGATGGGCTCACACCTCTCCACTTGGCCGCTTCGCGGATACAGTTAGTAGTCATGCACCACTTGCTCTCGCACGGCGCGGACATTAATTCGAAGACCGAGGACGATCACACGCCACTCCACTACGCGGCGGCGTGTGAGAGGGGAGCGGAGGCCGTGCGAATGCTCCTGAAGGCGGGCGCTGACGTCCATCGTGCAGACCGTTGGGGGGAAACACCCCTCCACGCGGCGGCTTGTTACGACGTGACGTCTACCCGATTGCTCCTCGAGGCTGGGGCGGATCCGAACCGCGCTGATGATGAAGGCGAAACAGCATTCCATCGCGCCATGTGTCACAGACACGCTGGCTTTGGAGGAGAGGAGACACTCCACTGCCTCATCGAAGCTGGCGGCGATGTCAATCGCGTCGACGAACAGAGCCGCTCGCCGCTAGACAACGCGCTCTGCTACGGTCGTCGCTCCTGTCTCTGGGTTCTGCTGCGAGCGGGGGCAACCGTGGATATGGCCAAGCTCCTTCTAGAAATCCGACCCATTGCATTCAAGGACGCGAAGAAGTACGCGTGCGACGACACCTACTATACTGACAAAGAGAAGTTGCGGATTTTCAAAGAGCAAGTCTCCAACGTCGCATCCTCCTTCCGCTACATCGACAAGCTCGCCGCCGCGGGCGGCTACGAGAGCCTCGTGCGGACGTACCGCCAGGTCCTCACGGCAGCCCGCCACGGCTGCGTCACGCGGTACCTCCGGCAGCGCTTCGGCCGCGACGCGCCGCACGACGTCGCCGTGCTCGTCCTCGAATTCTGGAAGCCGCCCGGCGGGCTCTAGCTCGCCGCGGGCTGCGCTGCGGATGCCAGTGGACCGCCGTGTCCTCCCGCGCGTCTCTCGGCGTCGGCTGCCGGCCGCCGCGAGTCGACGAACGACGCGCCCCCCACCTTCTCCCCCCAATCGTGCTGCTGTTGTTGTAACGACTATTGTGAGACGGCGGACCCCAACATGCGCAGGCCTACCGGACGACGGGGGCGCCGCTGCCAGGCCGCGCGTTGAGGGGGGTCGGTGGCGCCCTCGGCGCCCTCGGCGCCCTCGGGACGAGGGCGCCGCCCCCTCGTCCGACGCCCTCGGACCCTCGGACGGAGGATCGGCGCCCTCGGACGAGGACTCGGCCGTCGGACGAGCGCGCGGCCGTCGGACGAGCGCACGTCCATCGGACGAGGGCGGCGAACCGTTGGTGACCCCCGGCCCGGGGCGCTGGATGTCCGGGGCTGCGTGATGTGTTTATGACAGGCTTTGCACCCGCGCCGCTCAGCGAATACGCGGAGATGCGCAACGATCTCTGTGGCTGCATGGGCCGCATCCTGACGGACGACGCGCCGGTGAAAACGGGACGTCCAGGCGATGGCGTCGGGGAACAGGCGGGCGGTTCTCAGAGGCTCGAATGGGGCGCGCTCGACGCCTCCCAACCCATCGACTCGTTTCGAATCACTGCAGCATCGGGAATCGTTCGTCGTCACCCAGGCGTCGTCTCGGTACAAGGGAGACTCCGTGATGATTCACGGCAGCACCAGCGTCAGCAGCCAGGAGAGATCGTCCCTGGCCGCCCCCGGGGCACGCTCCATCATCGACTGGGGCGACTGCGCGGCCTAGGACCGACAGGACCTCGTGCCCGCGCCGACGTGTAGGCAGCCCACGGCGCCGCGAGGGGAAAGCGCCGCACGGCCGCCGCTCTTGGCTGCGCCCCGTCTCGGGGACCGTCGCGACCGTGGGCGTCAATGCCGGCACCCACGGCGCGCCCAGGGACGCCCAAGGGCTGCGCCTTTGGGCTGCCGCGCCCCCTCATAACCTTCCAACGACGGATGGCCAGAGATTTGCAGTCACCGTTCGAGCGCGCCGGGCGTGCCTGGCCAATCAGCGGCCGTCGGCGCCCTCGGCGCCCTCGGCCATTTCGGACCCTCGGACGCTCGGCTCCCTCGGACGAGGGGAAAATCCCTCAGCCGAGGGCGTCGGACGAGGGGGCGGCGCCCTCGTCCCGAGGGCGCCGAGGGCGCCGAGGGCGCCACCGACCCCCCTCAAGCCGCGCGCGCACTGCAACGACTTCAACTTACCGAGACTCGAGCATGGTCTCGACGCGCTGCAATGCGCAGTGAGCGAGTCGCAGCGCGCACCATGCAAGGCGCAGCGCGCGAGAGGCATCAACGAATGCAGCGCAAGAGCATGCGCACGCCAAGCGCAGCGCGCCGCATAACGTTCACGCTGGCAGCGCTCATAAGCCAAGCAAGCTCTCTCACACCAAAACCGCGCGTCGTCGTCGTCGGCGGCGGCGTCGGCGGCCTGGCGACGGCGGGCCGGCTGCAGCGCCTCGGCGCGGAGTGCACCGTGCTGGAAAAGAACGAGAAGCTCGGCGGCCGCGTCGGCGAGCACCGCTGGGAAGGCCACCGCTGGGAGACGGGCGCGTCGCTGCTGCTGCTGCCGGACGTCTATCGCCGCGCGCTCGAGGCCGCCGGCGGCGCCATGGTCGACGCCGTGCGCGTCGACCCGGCCTACGCGGTCTGGTTCCGGGAGCACGCGGACCGCGGGCCCGTCGTGCTCGGCGGCGGCGACCGCGGCGCGCTCCGAGCGCGCCTCGAGCTCGAGGCGCCGGGCGCGTTCGAGCGCTTCGAGCGCTACGGCGCCTGCGCGCGCGAGTACCTCCGGGCCGGCTGGCCCATCTTCATCGAGGAGGACCTGTCCTTCAGCGGCCTCGCGACGCTGCCGCGCTTCCTCGCGAACGCTCTCTCGGACCTCTGGCGCTGGCCGCTCTTCGGCCACGACGCGCAGCTGCGGCGGCTCTTCCCCGAGAGCGCGCGGCTCCGGGCGCTCTGCAGCTTCGACGACTTGTACGTGGGCCTGAGCCCCTACGAGGCGCCGGCGGTCTTCTCGCTGCTCGCGGCCATCGAGCTCGACGACGCGGGCGTGGTCGACGACCCGCCGCGGCGCGACGTCGGCGTCTACTACCCGCGCGGCGGCTTCGGTACCGTCGTCGACGCGTTGACGCGCGCCTGCGAGGCCTCGGGCGTGGCGCTGCGGACGCGCGCGGCCGTGGACCAGGTGCTCGTCGCGGACGGCAGAGCGACGGGCGTGCGGCTCCAGGACGGCGAGACGCTCGACGCCGACTACGTCGTCGTCAACGGCGACCTCGCGACGACGGAGCCGGCGCTGCTGTCGGAGACCACCGGCGCGGCGCGGAGCGCCTACGAGCGCGAGCGCTACTCGACGTCGTCGATCACGTTCCTCTGGGCGCTCGACGCGGCGCTGCCCCAGCTCCGGCACCACAACGTCTTCCTCGCCGAGGCCGGAAACGGCGACGACCCCTTCCGCGTCGCCTGGGACGACCAGCTGCCGGAGCGGGGCCGCCGCTCGCGCTTCCCGGGCCGCGGCTTCCACTTTTACCTCTGCGCGCCGTCGCGGACCGACGCGACCGCGGCGCCCGAGGGCAAGGACACGCTCATGGTCCTCGTGCCGACGCCGCCCCTCGCCGAGGACGGCAGCGACCCCGTGGACGACTGGATCGCGGCCGCGCGGGACGGCGTCTTCGCGGCTCTCCGGGACTCGGCGGGCTGCGGCGACGTCGCCGGCCACGTCGTCCACGAGCGCGTCATCGACCCGCGCGAGTGGCGCGACGGCCTCGGCCTCCGCCACGGCAGCGTCTTCGGCCTCGCCCACGGCCTCGACCAGCTCGCGATCTTCCGCCCGTCGCGGCGGTCGGCGCGCGTCGGCGGCCTCGCGTTCGTCGGCGCGTCGACGCGGCCGGGCAACGGCGTGCCCCTCGTGCTGACGTCGGCGAAGCTGCTCTGCGCGGAGTTGGAGGACGAGCTGGGGCTGGGCGGCGGGTAATGGTGTGCTCGATCGCGCCCAGCAGCGCTGGCGGCGCGCCAGCGCCTCGACGCCTTACCTCAGCTCCTCACCCAGTCAGACCGCGCCGCCGCCGCCTCGCAGCAGCGCAGCAGCCAGCAGCCAGCCAGCCCGCAGCCTCTTTATCTCTCTTGCAACTTGTAGTCGCAGCACCGCCGCGAACGCTTGCAACCAGCACACGCCGCCGTCGTTTTTGCAACAACACCAACCAAACCATGGGCGTCAAGGTCGTCGGCAAGAGCCTCGTCGTCGTGGACACGGGCAAGATGAAGATCACGGAGCTGGCGGGCAACGCGGCGACGAGCGACGACCGCATCTCCATCGCCAGCGTCACCGTGTCGGAGCCGACGTCGGAGCCGTTTTTGACGCTCCACTACGACGAGTGGTGCGTTCGTAGCGCACACCAATCACCGTGATGCCAGTTTCTCGTAGGATGTGCGTGACCAAGGGCCGCGTCATCTTCGACCTCGGCGACGGGACGAGCGTCGAGGCCAAGGCCGGCGAGACCGTCGTCGTCGAAAAGGGCACGCGGTTCCAGCCCATCTTCCCCGAGGCCGGCGCGGAGTACATCCCCGTGTGCCTGCCGGCGTTCAAGCCCGAGCGCTGCATCCGCGAGGAGGAGGGCGTGAGCGACGTCGCGAAGAAGCTCGCGGACCTCCACGGGTCGCCCGACGCGCCGCCGGCCGCGCCGCCCGCGGAGGTGCTCTACCACATGTGCGAGAAGGCGCTCTGGGAGGCGGCCAAGGCGTCCGGCGGCGCCTACTTCCCGCCGACCTTCGCCCAGGACGGCTTCACGCACGCGACGGCCGTGCCGTCGCGCCTCGTGACGACCGCGAACCACTTCTACCAGGACTCCGTCGGCGACTGGGTCTGCCTCCAGTTCAAGCGGTCGACGCTCCTCAAGACGTGCGGCATCGTCACGCGCGACGAGGAGGCCATGCCCGTCGGCGACAAGGCCGTCGGCGACGAGTGGGGCAAGTGGGTCTGCCCCCACGTCGTCGGCGGCATCCCCGTCGGCGCCGTCGACTTCGAGTTCGCCATGGTCCGCGACGGGCCGAAGTTCCTCGCCATCGAGGGGCTCACGAAGTGAGGGTCGTCGTTATTAAGTCCGCGCGCGCGCCGCCGCGCGCTCACTCGGGCGAGTCGAACGTGAAGTCCGCCTTCTTCGAACGTTTGATTTTCTCCTCCTCCTGCGCGGGGCGCGCGCGATGAGCGGCGCGACGCGCGCGGCGGGGGAGCGACGCACATCCGACTCCCACGCGTAGTAGAAGACGCCGAGGAGGCCGATGATCGGCGAGAACGCGAAGACGAGCTTCGCGCCGGCCCAGGCGTACCTGCGCGGCGAGCGGCGTCGGCCATCGATGCGCGCGTTCCTCGTGCGCCGCGCGACGCGCTTCGCGTGCTTCGACCAGGTCTCCGGGTCCATGTAGTCGAAGACGACCTCGGGCTCCTTCGGCGGCTCCGGCGCCGCCGTCGTCGTCGACTCCTCGTCCGGCGGCGGCGCGCCGGCGGCCTCCTCGGCGACGGCCAGCGCGGCGAACGCGGCGACGAGGACCAGGCTCACGAACCAGGCGCGCATCTCGTTGCTGCTCTGCGACGCTGTGGAGAGGCTCGCCTTGGCGAAGCTGAAGTCGAAGAGGACGCGGACGAGCCACACGGACGGCGTCCGACGCTCGAGCCGACGCGCCCCAGTCGGCCGGAGCGCCTACTCATCTGAGCGTCCGCCGTCTCAACAACAGTCGTTACAAACAACAACAGCAACACGGTGGGGGGGCAGGGTGGGGCGCGCGTCGCGTCGACTCGCGGCGGCAGCCGACGCCGCGGCCGGAGGCGCGTTGGAGGACAGGGCGGGGAGCGCGTAGCTTCGTCGACTCGCGGCGGCAGCCGAAGCCCAGAGGCGCGTTGGAGGACACGATGCTCCACTGGCAGCCGCAGCTAGGGCCCGCCGGGCGGCTTCCAGAATGCGAGGACGTGCACGGCGACGTCGTGCGGCGCGTCGCGGCCGAAGCGCTGGCGGAGGTACCGCGTGACGCAGCCGTGGCGGGGCGCCGTGAGGACCTGGCGGTACGTCCGCACGAGGTTCTCGTAGCCGCCCGCGACGGCGAGCTTGTCGACGTAGCGAAGGGCGTGCATGATTCGCTGGCAGATTAAGAACCTGCTTTCGTCCTGGTGCTTGCCACCACCGCACCAATACTTGCCCGCGTCGGTGAATGCGATGGGTTTGACTTCAAGCATGAGCTTGCCAACATCGAATGTTGCTCCCGCTCGCAGCAGAACCCAGAAACAGGAGCGACGACCGTAGTAGAGCGCGTCGTCTAGCGGCGAGCGGCCCTGTTCGTCGACGCGATTGACATCGCCGCCAGCTTTGATGAGGCACTGGAGTGTCTCGTTTAGCTCAAATCCAGGATCGAATCGACATATCACAGCGTGATGGAGTGCTGTTTTGCCAGCATGATCTGCGCGGTTCGGATCCGCGCCGGCCTCGAGGAGCAATCGGGTAGACGTCACCATGTCGGAACGAGCCGCCGCGTGGAGCGGTGTGACTCCCTTGTCGTCTGCACGATGGATGTCAGCGCCCGCCTTCAGGAGCAGTAGGAACACCTCCTCCTTTTGGCCGCCGTCACAACACGCCGTCAGGCGGATGGGAGTTTGTTCGTGTGCGTCCACGCCATTGATGTCCGCGCCGCACGAGAGCAACAGGCGAATAATTCCAGCATGCCCCGCGCCACCAGCGAGATGGAGTGGCGTAATCCCTCGATGATCTCGCTGATTAGCGTCGCTTCCCGCCGCGAGGAGCCCCGCGACCAAGGAGGTCTTCCCCTGCCAGGCGGCCGTGTAGAGGGGCCAATGTCCGCGCTCATCTACCTCGTTGATGTCCACGCCGAAGTGCGCCAGCACCGCGTTCATCTCATCGACGTAGACGAAGGGCTGCCCCGGGCGAGGGTCCACTGCTGCTGCCTCCATCTTGAGGGCGGCTTCGATCGAGCCTCTGGAAGGTGAACATTGGCCAGAAATCTTGGCATCGCCGACCGCGGATTTCTGTCGACACCAGCCGCCTTGCGCCCGTGCTGCTGCTCCCGCAAAGATGCTCGCCGCACGCTCCGCCCTCCGCACGTACGTCGCACGCATCCAAATCACGCGCGAAACCCACTATTTCCGTAGGGCCCGCCAGGCGTCGCAGCTCCGCTGCGCGAGCTCCCTCAAGGAGGTCCTCGCTGAACAGATCCCGGCGAAGCAGGCGGAGCTGAAGGAGATCAAGACGAAGCACGGCAGCAAGGTGCTCGGCGAGGTGACGGTGGACCAGTGCATCGGCGGCGGCCGCGGCGTCAAGTGCATGCTCTGGGAGACGTCGCTGCTCGACGCCGCCGAGGGCATCCGGTTCCGCGGCTACACGATCCCCGAGTGCCAGGAGATCCTGCCGACGTTCAAGGGCCCCGCGGGCGACGGCGAGCCGACGCCCGAGGCGCTGACCTGGCTCCTGCTCACGGGCGAGGTGCCGACGAAGGAGCAGGCCGACAGCCTGACCGCCGAGCTCTTCGCGCGGTCGAAGCTGCCCGAGCACGTGACCGCGCTCATGAAGACGCTGCCCAAGACCATGCACCCCATGACCCAGTTCTCGTTGGGCCTCCAGGCCTGCCAGACGGAGTCCAAGTTCGCCAAGGCCTACAGCGACGGCGTGCACAAGTCGCAGTACTGGGACAGCACGTACGAGGACGTCATCGACGTCATCGCCAAGCTGCCCGAGATCGCCGCCGCGGTCTACCGCAACACCTACTTCGACGGGTCCATCACCCGGGACCACTCCCTCGACTACAGCGCCAACTTCTGCCGCATGCTCGGCATGGAGAGCCCCGCGTTCGACGAGCTCATGCGCCTGTACCTCTGCATCCACACGGACCACGAGGGCGGCAACGCGTCGGCCCACGCGACGCACCTCGTCGGGTCGACGCTCTCCGACCCCTACAACTCCTACGTCGCGGGCCTCAACGCGCTCGCGGGCCCGCTCCACGGCCTCGCGAACCAGGAGGTGCTCGCGTGGATCCAGGATCTCAAGGCCAAGTTCGACGCCGAGGGCAAGGCCGTCAACGAGGAGACCATCACGGCCTTTGCGTGGGACACGCTGAACAACGGCCAGGTCATCCCGGGCTTCGGCCACGCGGTCCTCCGGAAGACGGACCCGCGCTACACGTGCCAGCGCGAGTTCGCGTTCAAGCACCTCCCCGACGACGACCTCTTCAAGATTGTGGACACGATCTACAAGGTCATGCCCGGCGTCCTCACGGAGCACGGCAAGACGAAGAACCCCTACCCGAACGTCGACAGCCACAGCGGCGTGCTCCTCTGGCACTACGGCTTCACGCAGTACGAGTACTACACGGTCCTCTTCGGCGTGTCCCGCGGCATCGGCGCGCTGAGCCAGGTCTTCTGGGACCGCGCCCTCGGCCTCCCCCTCGAGCGCCCCAAGTCCCTCACGACGGGCTGGATCAAGGACTTCTGCGAGAAGCAGGACGACGAGAAGGTCGCCGCCTAGGCCGACGCCGCGATCCGCACGAGCCCCCTCCACCTCCCTCCGCCCCTCTAAGTGAATCTTCTAGCACGAGCGCGCGGGCGGGTCGAGGAGCGCGCGGAACTTGTCCGCGGTGAGGACGGGCACGTCCATGCGCCGCGCGGCCTGGAAGTTCACGTCGCGCTCGACGACGTCGCCGTCGGCCATGACGTCGCCGGCGACGAGGTAGCGCGTCATGCTCCGCACGGCCGCGTCGACCGCGCCGCCCGCGGCCGCGACGGCGGACGCGAGCGCGGCCCGCGGCAATTCGCCCGCGAACGCGACGGACTTGCCGGCGAGCGGCGTGTAGCGCGCGCGCTTCGGCGGCGGCGGCGCGGGCCGCGCCGGCGGCGCCGGTCCCGCGGGCCGCTTCTTGATCCAGCCGCCGGCCGCCTCCTCCGCGAAGACGGGCGCGGCGGATTTCAGCGCCGCGTCGTGGAGCACCGCCGGGTTCCGCGCGACGAGGTCGTCGTGGAAGCGGACGACGCGCGCGTGGGCCTTGACGCCCGCGAGGTCGAAGTTGAGCACGCGCAGGCGGTCCACGGACGTCGCGCGCGACACCGCCGTGTAGGCCTGGCCGTACTCGAAGCAGCCCCGGAGGTCGACCTCGAGCAGGTCGAGCGTCTGGCCCTGGGACTTGTGGATGGAGATGGCCCAGGCGAGGCGCAGGGGGAACTGGGCGCGCTTCGCCTTCTGCACGTTGCCCTCCTCGATGGCCTTGACGTCGCGGGCGATCGTCTGCGTCCGGCCCGTCGTGAACTTCACGACGACGCCCGCGACGTCGTCGTCGCGGAGGCTCGCGTCCGTCTTGCCCTGCTCCGACGCGAAGCCCGTGACGACGCCGCGGGACCCGTTCACCAGGCCCGCCTCGACGTCCAAATTCACGAGGAGCATGACCTGCGCGCCGACCTTGAGCTGGAGCCGCTCCGGGAACGCGCCGTTCTTCCGCAGCGACCCGAGGTAGGGCTCGGCGCCGCTGTCCTGGGCGTCGAAGGTGCGCAGGCCGTCGCCGCCGGCGTGGAGCCGCGCGAGCGCCGCGTCGTTGATGCGGTCGACGTCCGCGTTGTAGCAGTTCAGCCGCGTCGGCTCGACGCCCTCGCGCGTCCACGGCGACAGGTCCGTGTGCTTGAGCTTGCGCAGGAGCGCCGCGGACCGGTTGCTGAGCTTGCCGACGCGCAGCTCGTTGAGGATGTCGACGAAGGTCGCGTCGCGCTGGCGGAAGACCTTGGTGAGCACGCGCTGCTCGGGGAAGCAGCGGCGCCACGCGGAGGCCTCGAAGGCGAAGAACGCGCCCGCGTCCGGGCCGCCGCCCTTCGAGACGGGCGGCAGCTGGAGGAAGTCGCCGCAGACGAGGAGCTGGATGCCCCCGAAGGCGTCGTCGCTGCCGCGGACGTAGCGCGCGACGTGGTCGAGCTTGTCGAAGAGCGCCGCCTCGACCATGGAGATCTCGTCGATGACGAGCGCGCCGCACTCCCGCCAGCGCTTCGACGCGTGGCGGTTCGACGCGACCTTGCGCGCGAGGTCCGCCGCGGGCTCCTGGCCGAGGCCGATGCCCGCGAACATGTGGATCGTCGTCCCGCCGACCTGCGTCGCCGCCGCGCCCGTCGACGCCGTCACGAAGACCTTGCCCTTGCGCCGCGACCGCAGGGCCTTGATCGCCTCCTTGAGCGTGTGGCTCTTGCCCGTGCCCTACGGATCGGAGATGGCTCTGCCGCGCGAACGTGCGGGCGCGCCGCGGGCGGAATCGCGCGGGCCCCCGGGCGCCCTTTTGGCGCCGCGGCAGCATGGCTCTCGCTCCGAAGTCTGGCCCGGCCGCGCGGGGAACGACGCGCGGCGGGTAAAGCATGATGACGGAGCTCTCGGCGCTCGCGGAGACGCGGGGCACGCGCCGCGTTGCCCGTGAAGAAGACGCTCCGCCCGTCGCGCGCGCACTCGACGACCTGCCGCTGCTCCTCCGTCAGCGTCGACGGCGCCTCCTCCTTCTTCCGCAGCTTGCCCGCGACGCGCGCGAGCGACGCCGCGCCGAGGCCGCCCATGACGCTCGCGTCGCCCTGGTTCTCGCCGAGCGGCGCCTTCTTCGGGTTGGCCCGCATCATGTCCGCGATGGACACGCCGGCCTTCTTCTTCGGCGGCGCGAAGGCCGGGCGCTTCTTGACGAAGCGGTCCATTGAAGCGGTCAGGTGTGTTTCAGTGGTCAATGGTCAGGTGCTGTGTTACAGTGGCCAACGGCGCGGCTATGCCTCAAGGTCGTGCATAAACTATGAGTCCGCGGCAACGAGCTGGATCCATGGACCTTTCCCGCCAACACTGGCTTTGGGCATGGCTGCCCTCGATAGGCAATGCATTAGGCATGCGTGCGCTGCTGGCTCGGCGCGCATGGCCGCGCATAATCTCCGCGCATAGCTGCTGCCCATGATGGCATGCGTGATGCTGCTAGCTCGCGCGCATGGCCGCGCATAATCTCCGCGCATAGCTGCTGCCCATGATGGCATGCAAAACACTACCGCCTGGTCCCGACGTTGCAGAGCGATGGCCGGCGACGTGCTGGCTGGACGGCGACGATCGCTTCGGCGCGAATCGCGCGGTCTGCGACGTCATCGACGAGCTCGTGCGCGACGAGGCGCAGATCGGCATGACCGTGAGCTGCTGGTGGCGCGGCGAGGAGGTCGTGCGCTGCGGCGGCGGCTGCTATCGGAGCTTGACGCGCGACGCGTGGGCGCCCGTGGCCGCGTCGACGCCGTTCCCGTGCAACTCCGTGAGCAAGGGCGTCGCGGCCGTCGCGCTGCTGACCTGCGTCGACGACGGCCTGGACCTCGACGCGCCGGCATCGTCCTTGTGGCCGGCGCTCCGCGGCGGCGGCTGCACGGTCGGGGAGCTGGCGTCGCATCGGGGGTGCCTCGTCGACCTGAGCCCGGGCTTCTTCGCCGCGGCGCTCGTCGCGCTCCTGTCGTACTTCGCGTTCGGCTGGCGGCGGTGCTGGGACGTGCTGCTCCGCCGCGTCGAGCGCGCCGCGCCGACGGCGCCGGGCGGCTCCTTCGCGGAGTACCACGCGCTCACCTGGGGCATGCTCGTGGGCGGGCTCGTGGAGAAGTTCGCGGGCGGCGCGCACGTCTCCGACGTCGTCGCCGACCGCGTCGCGGCGCCCCTCGGCGTCGCCGGCGAGTGCTACCTCGGGCGCGTGCCACCGGCCGCGGACGCGCGCCTCGCGCGCATGGAGCCGCCGCGCCGCTTCCGCGACCGCCGGTCCGCCGCCGCGGCGCGCGAGGGCGCGGCGACCGGCACTCCGAGGCGGCGCTTCGAGGTCGCCGCCGCGGCGCGCCTCGAGAGCCGGCTCTTCGTCTGGATCTCCAACTCGGCCTGGTTCCGGCGCATCTCGCTGCCGTCGTCGAACTGCTACGTGTCCGCGCGGGCCGCCGGGCGCGTCTTCGCGTCGCTCGCCGACGCGCTCGCGGACCGGGCGGGCGCGCGCGTCGTCTCCAAGGCGACCCTCGACGTCGTGACGCACAAGCTTCGCCGCGCGCCGCGCGTGCCCTGCAAGCACCCCGACGGCGACTACGCCGACGTGCCCGCGCGCTACGCCTCGGGGTTCCACCCGTGGTGCGACGTCGAGCTCCACGGGACCCACGCGGCCGAGACGCTCGGCCACACGGGCCAGGGCGGCTGCGCCGTCTGGCTCGACGTCCACAACGACCTCGTCGTCGCCATCCTCAAGAACACGTTCGAGCCCCTGAGCATCGCCGGCGGCGGGACGTCGCCCGACGCCATCCGCGTCGCGGCCACGATCCGCCGCCGCCTCGGCCTCGGGAGCTAAGTATACAGCGGCCAGTACCCCTCGCGCTCGAAGACGGCGGGCATGGCGGCGCCCGCGGCCGCGTACCAGGTCCCGAGGCCGCTCCGCTCCAGCGCGAGCGTCGCGAAGGGCATGGCGTTTTCGCCGGCCGCCCAGACGGCGATCGCGCCGAACGCGGACGCGTCCAGCGCGCCCGGCGCCTCGCCGGCGAAGAAGCGTCCCCCGCGGTCGTCGAGGGCCCGCTTCAGTTCGACCATGTATTCGACGGGCTCCCCGAGGTCCGGATGCTCCCTCGAAAGCCGGTCCGCGCCCTTCGACGCCAGCGACAGCGGCGCGAAGTGCCGAATCGCGAAGCCCGAGATGCCGCTCCCGAGGCCGGCGACGGCGGCCCACCTTTTCATGCACTCGACGTCCGCGAAGGCCTTGCGCTCACAGGACAGCATCAGACCGTACGTGACGATCTCCTCGAGCGCGACGTCCTCGGCCGAGTACGGTCGCCCGAAGAGCACCGGCGCGAGGCTCTTGAAGATGACGTAGGAGTCGTTGATCTGGCGCCCGTTGACGAAGAGCACGGGGAACTTCGCGTAGGCGCCGGACGCCCTGCCGAAGCGACGCCGGAAGGGCACGCCTCCGAGTTTCAGGAGCGCGCGCACCTTGCAGCAGGGAGGCGACGCGTGCGTGCCGTACAGCACGACGTCGGTGAGGCTCTCGCGCGTCCACTCGGCCGGGAGCGGCTCGGCGAGATCCTCTCGTTGGTCGTTGGTGCCGTCTGCGAGCGGCATTCAGTCCTTCGTGCGGTCGACGGGATTGTTCTCAGCAAACCAGAGAAACAATACGTCTGCGAGCGGCATTCAGTCCTTCGTGCGGTCGACGGGATTGTTCTCAGCAAACCAGAGAAACAATAGGATGAGACCGCCGAGGAACACCAGCGTTGCCGCTGTCGCGGCCCACGGGAACGCACCTCTTCGCGCCAGCGTGTCTGGGCAGCCTCACCAGCCGCGCGCGGCAGCCATGCGGCAGCGTGTTTGAGGCTAAGTTCAATAGCTAAAGTTGAGGATTTCACAAAAGCGCGCGTGTAAAGTTTTGCTCTCGCATGTTGCAAGACGCCGGCCTGCAAAAGAGTGCAGTACTGATGGACATGGCAACGCAGACGACGCTGTCGTTCGAGAGCCGCGCCGTGGTGGACTTCAACGTGCTCGTGCCGCGGAGCCCGGCGGACACGACGCCGCCGTCGCGGACGAGCCCGCCGACGCCGCTGCGGAGCCGGTCGCCCGTGGAGCCGCCGCTCTTCGAGACGCCGTCGCGGCGCACGGCGCGCGGCGCGTCGTCGCTGGCGACGATGAGCCCCATCACGCCGGCCTTCGGCGTCGACTCGGGCGGCCGCGGCGGCAGCCCCTACGGGCAGCCCCTGTCGCCCATCAAGTCCGAGGCCGCGACGTCGCCGCGCGACGACGCCGGCGACGCCGGCGGCGCGGCGGCGGCGGCGCCGGACGCGTCGAAGAGCCCCTGGGGCGAGTCGACGCTCCACACGATGTCGCCGCTCCAGCCCGCGACGCGCGGCGACTGGCGCGCGGAGCTCTTCCGCGAGACCGACTGGGGCGCGGTGCCGCGGCCGAGGCCGCAGGCGCCGTGGCACTTCTTCGAGCACGACGTGGGCTTCGCGTCGCCCGCGCGGCCCGCGGGCGTGCGCCCGCCGCCCCACCCGGCGGGCTGGGACGACTACGCGACGACGGAGTTCGCCAGCTCCTGGCAGCCCATGCCCGTGTCGCCGACGCTCACGAACCTCACGGGCCTCTACCGCAAGCGCGTCCAGCAGCGCACGCTCCTCTCCGCCTTCCGCAGCTCGTAAATTCGGAGGTGGCCGGAGTCTCCTCTCAGTACTACCAGGCGCCGGAGGCCTCTATAATCTTAGTTCGTCGGCTTGAAGCGCCGCTTGCTCGCCGGGTTGAGGAGCGGGCAGCCGCTCGCGACGATGGCGTCGATGTCCGCGAGCGCGCGCTTCGGCGCGGACCGCGGCGACACCGCGGGCGGCGCGAGCGCGAAGAGCGGCCGCTTCCGCGGCCGCGGCGACGCGTCGTCGTCGGCGCTGTCGGCGCTCACGGGCGCGACCGGCTCGTCGCCGTCGTCGGCCGCGGCCGGCGACGCGGGCGCGTCCGACGACGCGAGCGCGAGGTACGCGCGCATCGCGCCGATGGACCGCACCATCGGGTTCTTGCTGTTGATGCCCGACGCGAGGAGCGAGAGCGGCGGCCAGTGCGCCGGCGGCCGCGAGCCGAAGTAGGAGCCGTGCCAGGCCCCGCAGTGCCAGCCCTGGCGCCGGAGCGCCGCCTCCAGCTTCGCGCTCAGGCCGTGCGCCTCCGCGACGGCGAGCAGCTCGCGCGCGGCGGCGGCGACGCCGGCGTCGAGGACGACGCGCGGCCGCAGGAGCAGGTCCCGCGCGTAGGCGCGGCGGTCGCGCGGCGCGTCCGGCGGCGCCGCGACGGCGAGCGCCGCGTCGAAGGCGACGACGACGAGGGCCCGGTCCGGCGCGTCGCGCGTCGCGACGCGGTCGCCGGCGGCGATGGCGCAGGCCGCGGCCGCGCGCGCGCGGCGCCGCGGCTCCCGCTTCGCGACGCGCCGCGCGTCGATGCCCGCCTCGAAATCGCCGTCGTCAAAGTGGACGTCGACGCGCGCGCCGTCCGCCGCGACGACGACGCCGCCGTGGTGGCCCCGGCCCCCGAAGGGCGCGACGACGCGGTCGAGGACCGCGAGCGGCGCCGGCGCCGCGGCGGCCGCGAGCGGCGCCGGCGCCGCGGCGGCCGCGCGGCCCGAGCTCGCCGAGCCGCGCGCCGGCGCCGCGCCGTCCGCCTTCGCGGGGGCGGCGCGCGGCCGCTTCGGCTGCGCCACGCCGCGCCGCACTTTCACCGCTTGCGTCTCGCCCTTCTTGGGGAAATTGACGGGTCGGCCGAGACGCCGCGCGCGCGCGTCGTAGGCCCGCGCGGCTTCCTCCTCGGTGGGGAAGACGCCAATATTGCCATCTTTGTTGTTCTGGGCGCGCCAGGGATTCACAGAGCTAATACCAGTAGAGCCGTGGCCCTGTGAATTCGCAGTAACGCCCACGTACTGGCTTTTCGGCGGGCCCTCGGAGACCTGGGACGCGTCGTCGGACGCGTCGGTCTCCACTACAGCGCCCAGCTCCGCCGGCCTATCCTCGGCGTCGTCGGACGCGTCGGTCTCCACTGAAGCCTCCGCCGGAACCTCGTCCGGAAAGTTCATCGGCTTGCCCAATTCGCGCGCTCGCGCGTCGTAGGCCCGGACCGCTTCCATCTCCGTCGCGAAGTAGCCAATAATTTCTTGGCTCGGGGCATAAATTTGTGCGCGCCATGGTGTTTCTTCGTGAAGTCCTGGATCGCACTTGCCAATGCCAACGTACTGGCTGGAATAAGCCTGACCGGCTTGCGGCACCCGCTTCACCGCCTTGAGGTGCGACATGCTCACGGGCGCCGCCTTCTGCGCGGGCGCCTTGGCCTTGGACGCCGCCGCCTTCTTGGGCTTGGCCGCGCGCGGCGCCTCGGCGGCGCCGGGCGGCGCGAAGCGCCACGGCGCGGGCGCGTCCAGGAGCACGGGCCGGTCGCGGCGCGGCGCGGACTCGAGGATCTCGTACTCCTCGAGGTCCTGGTGGTCGCCCGCGAGGACGCCGTCGACGTAGACCGCGCGCCAGAGCGGCGACGGCTCGCCGCGCGCGTTGACGTAGTCGGACTCCGACTCGGGCAAAAAGCCCTCGATGCGCGCGACGCAGTGGATCTCCTTGCCGGCGTGCTCCGCGGACCGCGTGACCCACATGCCGACGTAGGGCCCCTTGGCGCGCCACTCGCCGGCCGCCTCCGCGTCGGCGGCGTCGTCCGCGGCGCCGTCGTCGTCGTCGTCGTCGAAGGACTCGCCCGCGTTGTAGGACACGAAGAGCTCCTCGCCCTTCTTCACGGGGCGGAGCACGCGCCAGCGCATGACGTTGCGGTGGCCGTTCGGGTGGCTGCCCCAGGTCACGTTCGGCTTCGCGCCGCCGCGCGCCTCGTTGAGCCAGTACGTCGCCGAGCTCCGGAGGACGTCGTCGTACTGGAACCAGTGGATGCGCCAGTAGCCGCCGTTGTTGAGGATGTAGGCCTCGGACTTCTTGCCGCGCGACTGGTGCTCGTCGGGCCGGCCCGGGCAGTAGATCGCCGTGGGATCGACGAGGTACTCGCCCGGCTCGAGGCGCCGCCGCGCGACGACGCCGTAGCCGTGGGCGACGCCGGCCTTCGTGACGGACACGGTGGCGCGGAGCTTGCCGAGCTCCTTGGCGAAGAGGTCCGCGTGGGCGCCCGCGTCCGCGAGCTTGCCGTACGACGGCATCAAACCCTCGACGTCCTCGGCGTCGTAGAAGCGCGGCGCCGCGGCGCGCGCGGCGGCCTCGCGCCGCTCGCGCTCCGCGGCCTCGCGCGCGCGCTTCTCCTCGAGCTCGCGCGCGGCGCGGAGCTGCTTCTGCTGCGCCTCGACCAATTTCCGCTCGCGCTCAGCGTCGCGCTCCTCGCGCGCGCGCTCCCGGAGCTCCGCCTGCCGCGCCTTGGCCTCGGCGGCCTTCTCGCGCTCGACCTCGGCGGCGCGCGCGGCCTCGGCGGCGCGCGCGACCTCGCGGGCCTCGGCCTCGCGCTCGCGGCGCGCCGCGTCGCCCGCGGCCGCCGCCGCGTGCGCGTCCATCGCGAGCGGATCGTCGCGGACCTCGTCGTCGTCCATCTCGCAGGTCGTGTTGTCGCTCCAGCTCACGAACCAGCCGCCGCCGGCCTTGGGCACGGCGAACTTGACGAAGAACTGCGGCTTGCCCGCAGCGCCCCAGGCGCGCAGCGCGGGCCGCCACTCGTCCTCCCAGAGCGCCTGCTTGTGCAGCACGCCGCTCGGCGGGCACTTCCTCATGGCGCCGCGACCCGCACGAGAAGGTGGTGGCTGCTGGGTAGTGTTAGCGAGGTCGCAAAGCGATGCAAAGCAACGATCGATCGTCGGTGCTGGGTGGTGTGCTCGAGGTTTCGAATTGGCCGCCGGAGAGCGCTGCATCTTGCGTGATTTACCTAATGGTGCCGCAGCCAGTTTGTTGATCCGCAATGGGCTGCCTCCTCCTAGCGCTCGTCGCCGCTAGCCTCGCCCTCACCGACGGCCGCGCGCTCCTCGCGAGCAAGAAGCGCCAGAAGGCCAAGGCCGCGCCGGCGGCGGAGGTGCGCACGGTCAACGCCACGGAGGCCGACTTCGACTACCGCTGGCGGGCGCCCATCGTGCGGGGCTGGCAGCGGGGCAACAAGAAGCACGTGCGCATCCGCGGCATCATGAACACGGGCACGAACTTCCTGCGCACGCTGCTGAACAAGGTCGGCGGCCTGAAGATCACGGAGGAGCGCAAGCACATGTTCCCGTGGGTTTTAGAGCAGCGCGGCGCCGCGTACCAAAACAGCGTCGCGGTCGTCATCGCGCGCCACCCGCTGTCCTGGATCACGGGCATGCGCAAGGCGCCCTACTTTTTGGACTGCAAGTCCGAGGCCCCCGACGCGACGTGCTGGATGCGCCTCGTCTGGAAGGAGAACAACCGGCCCGAGAAGATCGAAAAGTCCTACGCGTCCATCATCGACGTCTGGAACGCCTACTACTCGGCCTACCTCGACTGGCGCGGCAGCGCGGACGCGGCGTCTTACTTTTATTTCTCGCGCCACGCGCGCGCCGGCAGGTTGGACGCTGATCCGCTACGAGGACTTGCTCCTCGACGCGGACCGGACGATGCGCGAGCTCTTCCCGGGCCGCGTCGACGAGACCATGCACCTCCAGACGGACCGGGCGGCCAAGGGCCATGGCCACGCGCGGTCCTTCGCGGACGCGCGCGCCTACAACCTCGCGAAGATGTGGCGCAAGGAGAAGCCCGCGATCCGGCGTCCATGGGGGAGTCACAACGTTGGTGACGCCGAAGCCTCGCAGGTTCACGGAGCCCGACATCGCCGGCCACTGCGCCCACGCGAACGCGACGCTCCTCGGCGTCCTCCAGTACACGTGTCCCTAGCGTAACGTAGCGTTACGGCCCTCCCGGCGGCTTCCAGAACTCCAGGACGCGCGCGGCGACGTCGTGCGGCGCGTCGCGGCCGAAGCGCTGGCGGAGGTACCGCGTCAGGCAGCCGCGGGGGCCCGTGAGCACGCGGCGGTACGCCCGCACGAGGTTCTCGTAGCCGCCCGCGGCGACGACCTTGTCGATGTAGCGCCAGGCGGACCGGCGGCGCTTTCTCGACAAAGTCGTCGACCCATCAGGGTCCACGTCGCGTGGCAAATCTTTGAGACTGTCCAGATCAACGATTGCGCCGGCTCCGAGCAGCAGCGCGAGGGTGCGGCGCGTCCCATGTTTAAGAGCGCAGTAGAGAGGTGTCCGGCCCTCGGTATCCACGGTATTCACCTCGGCGCCAAATGAAAGAAGGCACTTGACTATTTCATTGGCTCCGCACAACGCCGCCTTGTGGAGGACCTGCCAGCCCCTCTCATCTTTCACGTCAGTCCTAGCGCCCGCTTCGAGCAAAAGACGCGCAATTTCCACACGATCTTGGTAAGTCGTAAGAAAAAGTGGCGTGCAGCCACGGCTGTTCTCGTAATGTATGTTCGCGCCGGCCGCGATGAGGAAGCGCGCGACTTCCACGTAACCCCGGAAAGCCACATTGTGGAGGGGCGTGTAGCGCTCCACGTCGCCAACATTCGGATCTCCGCCCGCGTCGACCAATAGGCGCGCGACCTCCACATGCCCATCTCCGACAGCCTCGTGGAGCGCGTAGTCCCCGCAGGCGTCTGCTTGATCGACGGCTCCCATCGCGAGCAGCGCGGCAACCATGGAGGTGTTCCCCTCTCGAGCGGCAGTGTGCAGGAGCGTGTCGCCACCCTCGTCCGCCTGGTTCACATCCACCTGGAAGTGCGCGAGGATTCCGCGCATCGCGTCGGCGCGGACCAACGGCGTGTCCATGATGTTTCGCAACTAAGACTCACTCACTTCACGTCGCAGCTAGCACTCATGTGTAGCACGCGGGCCTCAAACATCTCTCAAACCCATTGCGAGATGGCAAACATTGACCCCATTGAAGGCAAACGTATCTACTCACCATGCGCACACCGGCGGGCAGCCCTCGAGCGGTTCGAAAGCCGCCGGGCGGCTCGCGGTTGTGGTTGCGCCGCGTGGACCATGTCGTACCGGGAGCTGCGGACGTTCGCGGAGATGATGCGGGCCCTGGGCTACCAGCGGCTCGTGTCCGTGGAGAACTTCCGCAAGCCCAACTTCGAGCTCGTCGCCTCGGCCCTCTACTGGATGGTCAAGCGGTGCGTCGGCGCCGCCGCGCGCCGCGCGCCCCGCGCCGTGTCGCGCGCCGCCGCCCGCCGCCGCGACGGCGCCGCGCAACCGGGGCCGCCCCCGTCCCGTCGCTGCGACCCTTTTCTGTGAGATCGCGGACCGCCGCCAGGTACGACCCGGAGATCAACGTGTCGGACTGCATCGAGAAGGAGGACGACCGCGTCGACTTCCTGACGGTCACGGCCCAGGCGCTCGCGTCCAAGGCGAAGATCAAGCTCAACACGAAGCGGCTCTACGCCGCGGACGGCCGCGCGGTCAAGGAGCTCCTGAAGGTCGCGACGATGCTCTACAACGCGTCCAAGGCCAACGAGGAGGCCGCCAAGGAGGACCCGCTCCGCGAGGTCCAGCCCCTCAACTCGCGCATCAAGGACATCAAGCTCGCGCGGACCCTCGCGACGGAGATCACGGACAAGGGCGCGCGGCTCTACGACCTGCTGGGCAAGGAGAAGGACGTGAAGCAGGACCGCCAGTCCGCGCTCAACTTCCTCGACACGATCTCGTCGAACCTGGACAGCACCGTGGAGCACGGCCACATCCAAAAGTCCATCACGACGCTCGTGAGCAACGTGAGCGAGGACATCGAGCAGATGAAGAAGCAGTGCGACGAGCTCACGGCCGACGAGCGCACGCTCGACTCGAAGATCAAGAAGAAGCAGAGCGAGCTCGAGCGCCACGAGAAGCGCCTCAAGAGCCTGCAGACCGTGCGGCCCGCCTTCATGGACGAGTACGAGAAGCTCGAGCGCGAGCTCCAGAAGCAGTACGGCGTCTACCTCGAGCGGTTCCGCAACCTCGACTACCTCCAGAACGAGCTCGAGATGTACAACAAGTCGGAGAAGGAGAAGGTGGAGGAGAACGACCGGTCCCTGAAGCGCATGCAGAAGCGGCTCCGCGAGGAGGAGCTAAGGATCCTCCGCGGCGAGCAGGACATCAACGACCAGTCCGTCGACAAGGCCCTGAGCGACAAGGCCGCGCCCCAGGCCGGCTCCAAGGCCGGCGGCGACCGCGGCGGCGACCGCGGGGGCCGCGGCGACCGCGGCGGCCGCGGCGCGCCGTCCGGCGGCGGGTCCCGGAGCCGCGGCGGCCGCGTCCAGGGGTCCATGGTCGGCTCGCACGACGAGGGCTCCGAGTCCGAGGACATCGACAGCGACGAGATCTCCCACGACTCCGAGTCCGACTCCGTGTCCCTCGCGCCGTCGTCCAACGGCGGCTCCGAGATCGACGAGATCGAGGAGGACGACGAGGAGGGGTCCGAGATGTCCGAGGAGGACGGCGAGGAGAGCCACTACGCGTCGGGCCAGTCCTCCAACGAGTTCTAGGGAAGCCCCGCCCCCCGCCCGCCGGCGCCCGCCCCGACGCGCGAGCTCCATTATGCACGACGGTACCTCGCGGGGGGGTTCCCAAAGCAGCCCCCCCCCCTTCAGTCCGCGCAGTAGAGCTTCGACGCGCCCGCGGCGACGGCGTCGTCGTCGACGGCGTCGCGGTAGGTCGCGTGCGCGTCGGCGAGCGCCGCGTCGTCCCCGAGCTCGCGCTTGCCGTCCACGGGCGGCGGCGCGCTGCACGCGAGAAACGCCGCGATGCCCGCGAACGACTCCGTGCAGCTCGCGGCGGAGTCGCCGCCCGGCAGGGGCCAGGCCAGCGCCGTGTCGTCGGTGATCGCGAAGTCGTCGTCGTCGCCGAGGTCCACGGGCCGCGGCGGCGTCAGGTCCTGGCGGCCGACGACCGTGCCGTCGCCGCCGATTTTGAGCACGATCGCGCCGCCCGTGGGCATCTCGAAGCGCGTCATGACCTCCTCGCTCTCGCGGCAGAGCGCGTGGAGCAGGCAGCGGATCGTGTTGTTGTGGGCGCTGACGAGGCCGTGGCGGCCCGCGGCGACGCGCGGCAGCACGTGCGCGGACACGTACGCGACGCACCGCTTCTCGCAGTCCTCGAGGGACTCGCCCGTGGGCAGGACGACGCCGTCGTCGACGTCGTCGTAGGTGCCGCCGTCGTAGATGAGCTCGTGCCAGGGGTGGCTCTCGTGCATCTCCGGCGGCCGCACCGCGAAGCCCCGGCGCCAGTTCTTCACCTGCTCGGCGCCGAACTGGTCCGCGGCCTGCCGCTTGACCAGCGCCGTGAGCGCGCCGTAGTGGCGCTCGTTGAGCTCCCAGGCCGGCGCGTGGCGCGCGAGCGCCGGCCGGTCCCGCGCCCCGCCGCCGAGGCACTCCAGGACGACGTCGAGCGTCTCGCGCGCGCGTTCGAGGCGGCTGCTGTACGCGTCCGCGGGGTAGAAGTCGTGCTCGGCGAGGAGCTCGCCCATGGCCTTCGCCTCGCGCCGCCCGCGGTCGTTGAGCGACACGTCGGCCCAGCCGCTGAAGCGGCCGGACGCGTTCCACTCCGTCTGCCCGTGGCGCACGAGCACGAGCACGCCGCCCGGCTCGCTCTGGACGTCGGGCGCCTTTTCCACCATCTCCACGCGCGCGCGGGGATGTATTCAAGCAAGAGTTCAAAATAGGCTGCCCAAATACGATGGGCTGCATCAAAATCGTGATCCCTATGCATGCGCAAGCGTAGCATGATCCGGCTCCTCGTCGTCGCCGCGACCGCAGCCCTCGCGCGGCGGCCCGCGGCCACGGACCGCGGCTGCGGCTCCTACTGCTCCGCGGCCGTCGACGACGCCGTGCGCGTCGCCGTCACCCGCGCCGCCTACGCGAACGCGACGGCGGCGGCGCTCGCGTCGGCGCGGCGCGTCGCGGCGCGCATCTCGCTGGACTGCGCCATCGCGCTCCGGGGCGACGGCGTCGTCGTGTCGCACGGCGGCCGGTCCTACGCCGGCGGCGACGCGCTGCCCGCGGCGCTCGTCGGCGGCGGCGGCGGCGCGCTCTGCGCCGCGGGCGCGGCGGCGGCGCCGGGCCGCGTCGCCGTCTTCACGGTCGTCGACACCATCGGCTACCTCACCGCGCCGGGCAACCTCGACGCGTTCCGCAACAAGGTCGCGTTCTGCGAGCGCACGGCCCGGCCGCTCTACGTGCTGCTCGTGGGGACGGGCGACGCGTCCCTCCACGCGCGCGAGGGCCCGCCCTGGCAGCCCTGCGGCGAGCCCGACGGCAACCAGCTCAGCGTCTACAAGGCGCCCGGCGCGCTCCGCGTCTTCGAATCGCGGCCGGCCGTGTCCTCTCTGCTCTACTTGGACGCGGACGCGTGGTTCGCGGACGGCGCCGCGGCCGCGCCCCTCGAGGCCTACGCCGACCTCTTGGAAAAGAACGACGCCGACCTCCTGGGCGTGCAGAACCGGTTCCACGCGGGCGCGGACCCGGGCTGGGGCCGGCCGCGGAAGATCGTCATGAACGGCGGCGTCTTTCTGCTCAGACGGTCCGCGTTCGCGGACGACTTCGCGGGGCTCTGGTGGGCGGGCCGCTGCGGCGCCAAGGACCAGCTGCCGCTCTGGGCGGCCTTGTTCGCCCACTGGCACGTCGACGCCGGCGCGCCCTACGACCCGGACGCGTTCGCGACGTACAAGCTCGCGCGGCGCGCGGCGCTCCCGTCGCTGGCGCGCGTCCTCGGCGACCGGCTGCCCCAGGGCCAGCTCCGGGAGCCCGCCGTCGTCGGCCGCGTGCTGCTGCTGCCCGCGCTGCCCGTCGGCGGGCTTCCCGCGCTCCGGTCGGACCGGGACCCCGCCCGGAGGACGTTCGTCTGCCACACGAAGCCCGGCCGCCCGGAGCAGGGCGGCCAGTGCGACGCCGCGGACGTCTGCGCGAAGAGTCGATGTTAAGCATCTTCTACGACCGTGGGGACCATGCCCTCGAACGCGGCGCCGAGCGCGGCGAGCGCGTCCGGCGCGGTCATGGCGCGCCGCTTCGCCGCGAAGGCCGCGGCGCCGCTCCGCCGCGCGGCGACGCAGGCGCCGTAGGCGGCCCAGAGCCGCGGCGGCGCGCCGGCGTGGACGAAGTGCCCCTCGGCGCGGTGCGCGTAGACCCAGAGCACGGCGAGCGACCCGGAGAGCAGGTCCCCGAGGCCGCCGCAGCGCCGCGGCGAGCTCGCCTCGTCGACGGCGATGGTCGACGCGCCGTCGCTGATGACGTCGACGCGGCCCTTGCTGACGACCGTGACGCCGCCGAGGGCCCGCGCGACCTCGGAGACCTCGCGCGCGCGGCGCGCGAGCGACGCGTCGTCGCCCTCGCCCGGCGGCGGCGGCGGCGCCTCCGGGCAGACCGCGGCCCGCAGGCGCGCGAACTCGGGCGCGTTCGGCACCAGCGCGACGTTCGACAGGCCGCGCACGAGGTCCGGCTCGTTGGACACGAGGAACAGGCCGTCGGCGTCGACGACGACGGGCAGCGCGAGCTCGCGCGCCGCCAAGGTCAGGAGCGCCGCCGCGCCGGCGAGCACGGGCGCGTCGCGGCCCAGGCCCGGCCCGACGACCAGGCCGTGGAGCCGCCGCGCCCAGGGCTCGACGTTCCGGAGCATCTGCGCGGCGGCGTCGCCGCCGGCCTCGTACGCGGGGATGACGACGAGCTCCGGGCTGTAGCTCTTGATCGCCGTGCAGGCGCTGTCGGCGCAGAAGACCCAGGACAGGTCCGCGCCGACCTGCAGCGTGCTCGCCGCCGCGTAGTAGGGCGCGCCCGTGTACTCGAGGGAGCCGCCGACGACGCCGATGCGTCCGCCCTCGCCCTTGTACCGCGCGAAGGACAGCGGCGGCACGAGTCGTTGGACCGCGCTCGAGCCCTCGGACCAGGGCACGACGCGCGCGGTCATGGCGCTGCTCGCGCTGCACAGGGCGGCGACGCGGACGCGCATGCACGGCTAGCACTCGGCTGGCGCCGCCGTGGAGAGCTCGGCAACATCTCGGCAGCATGCCGGCCGAGCAGTCACCAAATCCTGATGGTTTTGGCTCTCAGCGCGAGGCCTTGTGTGTGCTCTCTCTCGAGCGGGGCTGCCCTCCCGCGCGACGCCGCGGCACTAGGCCTGTGTGTGTTCTCTCTCGGGGCTGCCCTCCCGCGCGGCGCCGCGGCACCCATGACGTCGCGGCGGACCCCGCGGCTGAACACGGGCCGGTCGAACCGCGCGGCGCAGAACGTGCTGTCGAGCCGCCTCGCGAAGTCGACGCCCCAGCTGAACCAGGTGCCCGAGCTCGCGACGACCGCCCGCTTCTCCACGGGCCGCCTGCGCGAGAAGACGCCGCCGAAGGTGCACCGCGACGACGGCTCCCGGGAGGTGCTCGAGCCCGTCTTCCGCGAGACCCACGACACGTCCGACGTCGTCACGACGCAGCACCACCAGTACGTCGTCGGCGAGCCCCGCGCGTACGGCCTGTACATCGAGGAGACGCCCATCAGCCAGAAGGAGGGCAAGAAGATGGCCGAGGCGCGCATGTACAGCGACAAGTCCTGCATCACGCCCCACTGGCTCAAGGTGAGCGCGACGCCCTGGTTCGCGCCGTCGAAGGCGACCGGCGGCTACGGCCGCAAGATCCACGACACGTCCGTGTCCACGGACGCGCCGGACATCTTCCACGTCGACGGCATCGAGGAGCACGACGAGCAGGCCGCGCGCAACTCGAACGTGTCCTTCGGCGCCGCGCCCCGGCCCCACCGCGACGGCGCGAGCCCGCTGCGGCGCAGCGTGAGCCAGGACGCGCCCGACTTCTTCCACCTCCAGAGCCGCAATCCGCCAACGGACAACTTGAAGTATACGAAGATGATCTACCAGAAGCAGATCCTCATCGAACCGCCCACGCCCCGCGCCGCGGCCAAATGGTCCAACACGCCGCGCCACCTCCTCCCGTCCTGCCGGAGCCTCCGCGGCGAGAGCACCAACGCGTGAGGCTGGTGTAAACGTTTTTTTTCGTTTCGTTAAAAAAGCAAGTTTAGTCCTCCATGCGCACGTCGCAGTCGTCGCCGCGCGCCGCGAGCAGGTTGAGCATGTCGAAGTCGCGGCGCGCGCGCGCGATGTCGAGGAGGTTGTCCGGCGGCTTCGCCGGGTCCCGCGACGTCGCGACGAGCACGCCGCAGTTGCAGCCCGCGTCGAGGAGCGCCGCGGCGACGTCCGCGTGGCCCCGCACGACCGCGAGCAGGATCGGCGACTGGTGCAGCGAGCTCGCGGCGGAGCCCAGATCCGGGTCCGCGGGCCCCGCGGCCGGCGGTTCCGTCTCCGCGGAGAGGAGCGCGCGCACGAGCGGCGCGTCGCCGCGGTTCACGGCCGCGAGGAGCGGCGTGTCGCGCGAGGGCCCGTCGAGCGCCGCGTCGGGATCCGCGCCCGCGTCCAGCAGCGCCACGGCGGCGCCGAACGCGCCCGCCGTCGACGCGGCGACGTAGAGCGCCGTCGCGCCGTGCATGTCCGCGCCGCAGGGCGCGTCGACGGCCGCGCCGCCCTTGAGCAGAGCCAGCACGGCCGCGCCGTTGCCGTTCTTCGCCGCGAGGTGCAGCGCCGTCGCCGCGGCGCCGGACGTCGTCGTCGCGCCGACGTCGGCGCCGGCTTTGACCAAGGCGTCGATCAGTTTCGGGTCGCCGCCGACGGCGAGGTGCAGCGGCGTCTGTCCGTCGGCGCCGGACCGCGCGGCCGTCGGCGCGCCCTTGGCCAGGAGCGCGGTCAAAATGTCGAGATGGCCCTGCGACGCCGCGACGTGGAGAGGCGTCGCGCCGTCGTCCGCCGCGTGCGAAACGGCCGCGCCCGCCGCCAAGAGCCGCGTGACGATGGCGAGGTGGCCCGCGCCCGCCGCGACGAGCAGGGGACTCGCGCCGGAGCGGCGCTGGCCCGCGTCGGCGTCCGCGCCGCGCGCCAACAGCACGTCGACGACCTTCCGAAAGCCCGCGCCCGCGGCGTAGTAGAGCGCGGACGCGCCGTCGGCGTTCAGCGACCGCGCGTCCACCGCCGCGCCGCGGTCGAGCAGGAGCGCCGCGACGTCGGGCCGGTCGTACTGGGCCGCGAGGTGGAGGGGCGACACGCCGACCATGGAAAAGCCAGCGTCGACGGCCGCGCCGGCGTCGAGGAGCGCGCGCGCGGCCGCGGCGTGGCCGTTCTCGGCCGCCGCGTGGAGCGGCGTCGCGCCGTTGGCCGGCTCCGTGTTCGGCAGGAACGCGCGCGTCGCGTCGCCGCCGGCGACGTCCAGGTCCCGCGACGTTTGAGTATCGAAGGTCTCGGCGACCGCGGCGTCCGTCGACGCGCCCGCGGCGGCGAGCGCCGTCACCGTCTCGGCGAAGCCCTCCTGGGCGGCGATGTAGAGCGCCGTCGTGTCGCCGTTCAAGAGCGTCTCCGAATCGGCGCCGCAGGGCGCCGCGAGGAGCGCCGCCGCGCACGCCGCGCGGTCGCGTTGCGCGGCGGCGTGCAGCGGCCGGCCTCCCAAGGCCGTCGCCGCGTCCGGGTCCGCGCCGAGCGCGCAGGCCGTCTCGACGACATCGGCGAACCCGTTCTCCGCGGCCATATGGAGCGCCGTCGTGTTGGCGAAGGCGTGCCGCGCGCCGAGGTCGCCGCCGCGTCGTACCAACAACGACAGCGTCTCCGCGTGGCCCGCGCCCGCCGCGACGTGGACCGCGGTCATGCCCGACGCGCCCACGGCTTCGAGGAGCGCGTCGGCGTCGCGGGAGTTGTCCAATAAGAGGCCCGCGCAGGCCGCGCAGCCCACCAATGCCGCGGCGTGAAGCGCCGTCGTCCCGTCGGGCACGACGCCGTCGGCGTCCGCGCCGTCGTCGAGCAGGCGCCGCGTCGCCGCCGCGTCCTGCTCCGCGACGGCGCGCAGCAGCGGCTCCGAGTCCGCGTACTCGGCCACGGTCTGGCCGACGCCGTAGGAGATGAGGAGGCCCGCGCTGTCGACGTTGCCCGTGCCCGCCGCGAGCCGCTGGTACTCGTCGTAGGACGACGCGGGCCACTCGCCGGCGGAGACGCGCGCGGCGACGGCGGCCTCGCGAGAAGTCGCCTCGCTGAACGTTGCGCCGCCGTCGCCGAGGTCCTTGGCCCAGGACTTGAGCGACGCCGACGCCGGGCCGTCGCTGATGCGCACGACGAGGCCCGTGTCGCCGACGCTCACCGTCGCGAGGCCGCTTTCCGTTGCCTGCGGCTTCTTGCGCCGCTTCTTCGCGGCGCCGACGGCGGCGACGAGCGCGAGGAGCCAGCAGCGGGTGCGCATCTCCGCCGATCACGCTGCCATCAGATTCTCGCTTTGCCACATGGTGCAACTACAGAGTCAACACCTCCAAGGTGCAGCCCAAAATTGGCTGGCGCAACCAAAGCAAGCTCGGGCTGCTGCCCTCCCGGAGCGCCGCGGCCGCCCGGGGGACGCTCGACGATGGTGGCCCTGGGGCGCGTGCGCCATGACAAGATGAAGGACACGCAGGTGCTCGTGTCGACGCTCCAGCGGCCCCACGGGGCGACGTCGTCCCGCATCATGAGCTTCTCCAGCAGCGGCAAGGAGGCGCACCTGAACACGGCCGTCGTCGCGGCGACGAAGAAGCGCTACGAGACCTACAAGCAGGCGACGCAGCTCTACTTCGACGTCCAGCGGGCCAAGGGCGAGGTCTACCACGTGCTCTTCCAGCGGGACGGCGCGCTCGGGTTCAGCCTCCACCTCGTCCGCGACGGCGAGGACGGGCGGACGATGATCGTCGTCGACCGCGTGAACAGCGACTGCGAGCACGGCGTGACCATCAAGACGTCGGACGAGCTCGTCATGATCTACGACTTCCTCCTCGTGCAGCCCACGCGCGAGGACTTCCTCAACATTTTGCAGCGCCTCGCGAAGTCGATGCGCCCGCTGAAGCTCACCTTCGCCAAGGGCAAGGACCGGCTCACGGCGATGCCGACGTCGTCGCCGCGGCTGAAGGGCAAGGAGCTCGAGCGCCAGGCGAAGCTCGAGGCCATGCGCCGGGATCTGGAAGACGACCTCGCGGCGGCGCGCGAAGCGGCGAAGCACGACGTGCTCCTCAAGCACCACGCGGCGACGGAGCAGCGCTTGGCGTACCGCAAGGAGAAGCAGGAGTCCAAGGTCAACGAGGCCCGCGCCGCCGCCGCGGAGCTCCTGGACACGCACTTCGACCCGACGGCGCCGCGCGTCCGCGCGGAGTCGTGGCGCGCCGAGGCCGCGCTCCTCGCGCGCAAGTACCGGCAGAAGGAGAGCGACGCGAAGGAGGTGCGCACGCGGGCCCGCGCGGCGAGCGGCATGGAGCACCTGGACCGCGTCGTCAAGGGGTCCGTCGTGCGCATGGTCCTCGAGGGGCCGGACGTCGACGAGGACGACGCGCTCTACGCGCCGGGCTGCGCGTGGCACGGCCGCGTGGGCATCGTCTCCGACGTCCGGGTCAACGAGTCGGGCGAGGTGCGCCTCACCGTGACCTTCGCCGACGCGCCCCTGAACCGGAGCGTCCACGGCGGCCACCACCCGGCCGTGCTCGCGTCCGACGGCGTCGCGCAGGCGTGGAAGGGCGACCCCAAGTACGTCGAGGTCCTCGTGGACCACCGCGACGAGGCGCTGCAGCTGGAGATGGAGCGGTCCCACAACGCGAAGCGCGCGTCCCTGCTGGCGGACCGCGCGCGCGACGAGAAGCTCGAGGCCGCGCACGACAAGGGCGTCACCGCGCACATCTTCCGCGCGGCGCCCGGCGAGGCCCCGGGGGGCGAGGAGGGCCGCGCCAGGGCCGCCGAGGCCGCGGAGCGCGAGCGAATCCGCCAGACGACGGAGTGCGACGTCCACGCGGGCGCGCAACGCGGCCGGACGGGGTCCATCTTCGCGGTCAAGGAGTCCGAGGACAAGCGCGAGCGCGAGCTCCAGCAGAAGGCCGCCGTCGCCGCCATGGAGGACGAGCGCAAGCGCCGCGAGTGGGAGGGCCGCTTCGCCCAGACGCGCAAGTCCGCCGTCGTCGAGCACTTCGACAAGCGGAAGAAGGACCGCGACGACTACGTCAAAGGGCAGCAGTTCGGCCTCAAGGTAAAGGAGTTCCTCTGCCTCGCCCAGGAGGAGGAGTTCGACGCGCCCCCGCGCCAGCCCGACATGGAGACGGAGCTCATGCTCGAGCGCTCCAAGCTCTGGCAGACCAAGGCCGCGGACGCGCCGCCGCTCCCGCCGAAGCCCGCGAAGAAGCCCAAGCCCCCGCCCGCGAAGAAGTACCGCGACTCCATCCGCGTCCGCGGCGACAACAACGTCGACCACTACTGAGCCGCGTCGTTTTCCCTCGGCGACGACGCGCCCGCGATGGGCATCCTCCCTGTATAAGTCTCTACTTTTTTCAAGTATGGGTGCAACTTTACGGCATCATACTTTGTTGCAGCGGCATCTGGTGTGGTAATTCTGCTGCAGGCTCTTGTGGGCGCGCTGGCCGCGCGACAGTCTCGGCCGACGCGTCGAGCTCTGCAATAGCGGCGCCGACCATTGAAAGTTGCTGGAAAAACCATGCTCCGCGGCGTCGGCGCGTTCATGCGCCACTATCCGCTGCTCTCCATCATCGGCGTCTACAGCGGCCTCTACGTGCTCGGCCAGCACATTTATGTCAAAGTCTTCGGCAAGCACGCGAAGACCTACGAATTCGGCGACGCGACGGCGCTCACGCTCCAGTCCGCGTCGAAGGCGCTCGCGGCGTTCATCGGCAAGGCGAGTCTGGGCGACTACCAGTTCGGCGACGTGTCGAAGGCGTCGCTCGAGCGCCTCGAGACGGCGTTCAAGGCCGCGCGGGGCCAGGAAACGCGCCGCGAGGTCGGTCTGGAAGCCATGGTCGTCTCCTTCTTCCAGCAGGCCGCGTGCCTGCTCCAGCGGTGCCTCGACCGCGGCTTCCTCGACGACGGCGAGGCCGAGGCGGGCGCCGAGGGCGACAACGAGCTCGGCGCGCGCGTCCGCGTCGCGCTGGCGGCGGCGGTGCTCCTGAGCACGGCGTGCCGCTCAATCGACGACGACGTCGCGCGCGAGCAGGCGGAGCTCGTCCTCGCGAGCGGCGACGGCGTCATCACGAAGCGCAACGTGCCCGAGACGCTCCAGGGCTGCCTCGCGCTGACCATGGAAGCCAAGCAGTTCCTCCGCGACTCGCGGCCGAGCGCCGAGGAGCGCGCGCGCTTGTGCGAAGCCGTCGTCCGCGCGGGCGCGACGGGCGCCGCGGACGTCGAGCCCGTCGCCGCGGCGCTCCTCCGCGCGGCCGCGGCGCTGCGGGCGAACCTCAAGAGCGTCTTCGAGAGCAACATGGACGACGTCTTCATCGCCGTCGTCGAGGACCGCTTCGGCGCCTTCGACGACGAGGAGGGGTTCTCCGAGCAGTTCCTGCCCGCGCTGCGGCGATAATGAGGATCTAGGCTTAGGAAGGGTGCCCATGCGCTAGTCCCATTCTCTCGGGTGGTCGCGTGCCCATTTGTCGCGGCGGGTTGCATTACGCGCCTCTTTTTGTGCCTCCGTCATAGCTTTCCTCTTCCGCTTGCGGCTGGTGCTCGCCGCTTTAGTCGCTGCCGCGGTGGGCTCTTTGTGCTTCGGCTGGCGGGCGGGTAGGCCTGACGTTTCGGCATCAGTGTCGTACGCGTCGGTCTCAACGCCGTCATCCCCGCAGCCGCCACACGGCGCCGCGGTGGCAATGTCCTGCGGCGTTTCGGGGCACTGAGTCTCCGCATCTTTTGTGCTTATCATCGATGCAGCCTGGGCCTCGAGGTCCCGCGCCGCGACGAGCTCGTCATATCGCTGGCGTAACGCCGATAATTCCATGCGCAGGCGCTCCTCGGCGTCCCTGCTCTCGTGGAGGCACTCTTTCATGGCCGCATCCCGTGCCTTCTTCTTCTTGCGCTTGTTTTCCGAATATAATGCCTCTCGCGTCTTTTCGTCGCCGGCGCCGTCGTAGCGTGGGCCAAAATGTGGAATCTGTGGCTTCTGTTCGGCAGCCATCGTGATTGACGCCGGACACAAGATCGGCTCGTGATCGGGGCTGCACGATGGGCAGCCGCATCGCGCCCCTCCTCCTCCTCCTGACGTCGTCCACCGCATCAACAAAGCCCCACCTCATCTTCCTCCTCGCCGACGACGAGGGCTGGAACAACGGCTTCTACAACGAGGACGTCCTCACGCCGCACACGGACGCGCTCGTCGCCGCCGGCGTCAAGCTCACGAACCACTACGTCTACAAGTTCTGCTCGCCGACGCGGTCGTCCTTCCTCAGCGGCCGCCTGCCCATCCATGTCAACCAGGAAAACAGCGCCACGGAGCAGGCCGGCGCCGGCGTGCCGCTGGGCATGAGCACGATCGGCGAGACGATGCGCGCCGCGGGCTACCGGACGGCCCACGTCGGCAAGTGGCACTGCGGCATGGCGACGCCGGCGCACACGCCCTACGGCCGGGGCTTCGACTCGTCCATCGGCTTCTTCAACTTCGGCGAGGACCACTACACGCAGGTCCGCGGCGGCCAGGCGCTCGAGGAGGGCGGCGCCTCCGGACAGTGCTCGGGCGTCGACCTCTGGCGCGACGGCGCGCCCGCGAGAGGCGAGAACGGCACCTACGGCGGCTACACCTTCACGCGCGCCGCCGTCGCCGCCGTCGAGGCCAACGACACGAAGCCGCTCTTCCTCTTCGCGGCGTTCCAAAATCTCCACCCGCCTCTGGAGGTGCCCCCGGAGTACGTCGCGCGCTACGCCAACGAGACCCTCCGGACGACGATCAACGGCATGGCCGCGTTCCTCGACGACAGCGTCGGCAACGTGACCAAGGCTCTCAAGAAGCAAAACATGTACGACTCGTCGTTGATCGTCTACACGCCGGACAACGGGGGGTACCTCACCCAGGGCGGCGACGACGCGCCGTTCCGGGGCGGCAAGTTCAGCGACTTCCAGGGCGGCGTGCGCGTCGCGGCGTTCATCTCCGGGGGCCTCGTGCCCGCGGGCCTCCGGGGCACGGCGTCGGCCGCGCTCGTCCACGTCTGCGACTGGATGGCCACGTTCGCGGCGCTCGGCGGCGGCGCCATCCCCGCGGACGCCGTCGCGGGCCTGCCCGCGCCGGACTCGCTCGACGTCTGGCCCGCGCTCTCCCGGGGCCGGCCGAGCCCGCGGACGGAGGTGCCGCTGTCGATCCTGCCCGCGGACGGCGCGGCGCGCGCGTTCGTCGACTTCGACGGCGTCGGCTACTTCGTCGGCGGCGAGGGGTTAATAGTCGGCGACATGAAGCTCCTGCTGGGCTACCAGCACATCGGCCCCTTCGACAAGGTCACGAACGCGACGTGCGCCGGCGTCGCCGGACCGTGGGCCGCGGGCCGCCCGGGCGTGCCCTGCGACTGCGCGACGTCGGGCTGCCTCTACAACGTCACCGCGGACCCGACGGAGTCCGACGACCTCGCGGCGGCGCGGCCCGGCGCCGTCGCGGCCCTCCGGACGCGCCTCGAGGCGCTCCGGGCGACGGTCTACGCGCCGGACCGCGGCGCCAAGGACGACGCCGCGTGCGCCCAGATCGCGACGAACGGCGGCTTCTGGGGCCCCTGGCGGTGAATTTCGAGTGCTATACGCGAGCTAGAAGAGGGGGGCGGCGATATCTCAGCCGCGGAGCGGCGCGTCGCCGACGACGATGTCGTCGTCGTCCGTGAGCGAGTCCCGCGTCCGGACGAAGTCCATGCTGCCCGCCGTCTCGTCGTCGGGCGTCGTCGGCACGAGGCCGCCGTGGAGCTGGACCTGCTCGATGAGGCGCTGGATGTCCGCGGGCGTCTCCAAGAGGCGCTCGGGCCTGTCGACGACGCCCGCGCCGTCGCCGACGACGGGGGGCGGCGGCGGCGGCTCGCCGTGCTGGGCGCAGAGCGCCGCGACGGTCTCGCGCTTCGCGGCGGCGACGTCGGCGGCGGCCGCCGCGTCCGCGCGCGCGGCGTCGAGCGCCGCGCGCGCCTGCTCCGCGCGCTCGCGCGACCGCTTCGCGTTCGCCTTGGACTTGTTGGACCGGCGCTTCGCGGGCGCGTCGGCGACGGCGTCCAGGGCGGCCTCGAGCGCCGCGTCGGCCGCGGCCTCCAGGGCCGCGGCGGCGGCCGCGGCCGCGTAGTCCGCGTCGAGCGCTTTGAGCGCCGCGTCGACCTCCGCGCGGCCGATGCGCGCGTCGTCGCGGCGCTTCCGCGCCGTCTCCGCGCGCTTCGCCGCCGCGCGCCGCTCGCGCACCTTCTGCCGCTCGCACTCCGCCAACCGCCGCCGCTCGTCGTCCGCGCGCTTCTTCGCGAGCTCCGCGGCCTCGGCCGCTTTCCGCTTCTCCTCGCGCTGCCGGTCGCGCTCCGCGCGCTCGTCGGCGGCGCGGTCGCGCCGCGCCGCCGCCGTCGCGGCCTTGCGCGCGCGCTCCCGCGCCTCCAGGTCCAGGCGCTCCTTGCGCCGGTTCTCGCCGACCTTGGACCGCGTCTCCTTGCGCTTCGCCTTCTTGGCCTCCGTCTTCGCCCAGCGCCGCTCCCACCGCGGCCGCTTGCTCCAGGCCTCGTCGTCGTCGAGGTCCGCGTCGTCGACGTCGCCCCGGCGCCTCCCGCCCCCGCCGCGGCCGCGCCGCCCGGACCGCGAGTCGTCGTCGTCGTCGCCGCCGTCGCCGCCGTCGCCGGCGAGGCAGCACGCGACGACCAGCGCGACGGCGCCCAGGCCGCCGACGGACGCCACCGTCGTCTTCGCGCTGCACCCGAGGCTCCCCAGGGTCAGCGCGACGAAGAGGAGCGCGTGGAGCACGGCCGTGCAGTAGAGCGACGCGCCGGACGGGCTCTTGGCCGCCCTGTCGGGCGCCTCGGAGCCGCTCCAGTCGTCGCCGCCGTCGGCGGCCTGGCGCAGCACCTGGACGGCGCGGTTCACGCGCTGGAACTGCTCCGTGGCCTCCTCGCGCGACGTCCCGTTCTGGGCCGCCTTGTCCGGGTGGAGCTTGAGCGCGAGCCTGCGGGGGGCAGCCGGTCCGGCCGCGGGACCGCGCGCGCGCTCGCATCCGGCGGTGTTTTGGGGATTTCTTTTTTGGGGGTTCGGGTGTCTTTCGCGGTCGACGCCGGCGGCGCGCCGCCGGAACGCCTTCTGGACGTCCTCCTCCCGCGCGTGCGCGGGCACGCCGAGGATCGACGCCGCCTCCTCCGGGCTCATGTCATCCATCGCTTCCGGTTTCGTGCCGGACGAATACCGCGGACGCGCGCGAGCAGAGTCTACGGCGCCGCGACCATCGCGCCGGACGCGCTGCGACCCGCGCGCGCAAAGCTGCCGATGGCGGGCGAGGCGGCCGCTTGCCCTCTACACGAAGTCCAATATGGGCTGCATGTTCGGCATTGACTTCATTAAGCCTGTGTTGCCGCGCGCTCGGCGCTGGGCCGCGTCGTTGTCGGGGCAGCCATGGGCGCGGGGAGCAGCTCCAAGTATAAGCTCGTCATCAAGGAGCGCGACGAGCTCGCGAGCGCGCACAAGGCCAAGGAGAAAATGCTGGCGCTGCTCGAAAAGAAGCACAGCGAGACGATCGACAAGCACACGGCCCTGAACGAGAACCACCTGAGCGTCGTCGCCCAGTGCGCGGCCTACAAGCTCGAGCTCAACCACGAGCGGCTGAAGGCCGCCGAGGCCGAGCGGCAGCTCGCCGACGCCCACGAGCAGCTCGCGCTCCTCCAGAAGCGCGTCGGCGAGATGACGCACGGCGACCCCGCGCGCGACGTCCTCGAGCGCGAGAAGATCATCGCGGAGATGGAGGCGCTGCGGAACTCCATCGACGCGAAGAACAAGCCCATGCGCAACGTCTTCGACCTCGTCGTCGGCAACCTGAGACGGGAGGTCGACGAGATCAAGGCGCGCGTCGCGCGCGTCGACGCCGCCGCGGTCGTAACGTGATCCCATGCGCGTGTTAGAACAGCCCGAAGGCGCGGATGCCGAGCTCCCGGAAGCACGGATCCTCCACGAGCGCGGCGGCTCGTTACGTCCTCCCTAAGCTGCTTCAATAAAAACTGCAACGCACAGTTTGGTCGACGGTGCCGAACCATCTGGCCATGTCATTGCAATCCAAGCGGGATCCCGATTGGCAGCCTCGGGAGTGTCGCCCGGTCACAGAATTGCATCCGTGTCGATGGTGATGATCCGCGGCCCGTGATCCGTCGGCGAGCCTCCGCCAGCCCCACGAGACGCCTCATGACCGCCGCCCTCAAGAGCCCCAGTGCAGCCCCGCCGTGCGGCAGCCCCTCGGACACGGTCGTGGGGCGGCCCGGCGTCATCAAGCCCATCCCCGTGAGCCCGACGGGGAATCTGCGGTCCGCGCTCCACAAGTCGACGCCCGTGAAGACGCCGCCGCCGCTGCCGCGCTTCGTCGACCTGTCGAACTCGGCGCCGCCGCGCGTGCGCTTCAACACGTGCGGCCCCGGCGAGTCGCCGAGCGACGCGCGGCGCGACGTGCTCGCGCTGCTCGGCGACGCCGCCCCGGCGGACGACTTCGGCAACGCGCGCGGCGCGTTGCGCTTCGAGTCGCCCGAGGGGTCGCCCCGGCCCGCGGCGTCGCTCCGGCACCGCGACGGCGGCGGCGACCAGGCGGCGATGGACCGCGCGGCGTTCAAGGCCGCCGTGAACAAGGCGTCGGAGGGCTTCGTGCCGCTGCAGCGCAGCGACACCATGCCCGTGCAGACGCCCGAGCGGGGCACGCCGTCGCCGCGCTGCGCGTCCGCGCCGCTCGAGTCCGCCGCCGAGTCGCCGGGCAAGCTCGCGTCGCCCGCGGACTGCGGCGGCAGCCCGCCCAAGGCCGCGGGGCTGCTGCCCCTGAATCGCGAGATCCTGAGCCTGCACCGCGAGCGCGCGGCCGGGCTCCGGTCGTCGCGGCTCTGCCTGTCCATGCCCGTCGCGCTCCGGCTCCGCGCGGATTGCAGCGCCGCGCGGCTGAAGCGGAGCTTCGAGCGGCTCGTGGCGCGCCACCCGTCGCTGCGCACGGCCTACCCGGCCTACGACGACTCGGAGCAGCGCGTCGTCCTGCCCCTCGAGGGCGACGACGCCGCGCCGGCGCGCGGCTTCCCGGCGTCCGCGGACGCGTCGACGTCGCCGCCGGGGGGGCTCGTGCGCAGCGCGTCGTCGTCGTCCATCCTCTCGTTGAGCGAGCGCAAGCCGAGCGCCGCGGGCGGCGCCCCGGCGGCCGTGCCGCGCGCGTCCGTGTGGCGGCGCCGCGCGTGCGTCGGGTGGCGCCCGGAGCAGCTCCGCGACGCGACGCTGCGCGCGCTCGACGACGGCGCGCTGGACCCGACGACGGGCTGCCTCTTCCGGGCGACGCTGCTCGACGTCGGCGTCGTGCGGCGCATCGTCGGCGCGCCGCCGCGCGGCTACCGCCGCGACAGCCGGTCGTCGAGCGGCGGCGAGCGCGACGACGACAGCGACGACGACGCGCCGGCGCCGTCGGCGCCCCAGCTCGAGCCGGACCTCTGCGGCCGCGGGTCCGTGCTCGCGCTCTGCGTGCACCGCCTCGCCGCGGACGCGGGCCACCTCATGACGCTGCTCCACGACTGGCGCGTCATCGCGGAGGAGCTCGACGCGGAGGACGGCCTCGAGGCGCCGGCGCGCTGCGAGAAGCACGCGCCGGCGCCGGCGGCCGTGACGCGCGTCGTCGACCTCGAGGAGTGGCTCCGCGCGCGCGGCGCGACGGCGCAGCGGCGGCGCCGCCTCGGCTCGGGCGGCCAGCTGAGCGCGGGCACGGCGTCGGGCGACCGCGCCGACGCCGAGGCCTACTGGGCGGGCATCCTGGCGCGCGTTGCGAAGAAGGGGCCCAACTACAGCCCCTTCGCGCGCCTCGCGGACCGGGGGCCGCCGCCGCGGCGCCGCGAGACGCGGCAGGCGCGCGTGGAGCCCTTCACCGTCGACGCGGCGCTGGCGTCGGCCTACTTTCACGCCGCGCGCGAGGCCGAGGGCGCGAGCAAATTCGTCGCGCTGCTCGCCGTCTACGCGGCGCAGCTCGCCGGCTACTCGCAGGAGTGGGCCGACGGGCCGCGCGGCGCGGTCGTCGACGTCTGCTTCGGCATCCTCGTGGGCCACAAGAACCGCCTCGGCATCGAGTGGGTCGTCGGCGACGCGACGTCCTGGGTGCCTGTGTGCGTCGGCGCCGTCGTCGGCGACTTCCGGGCGACGCTCCGGGCCGCGTGCGCGGCGACGCGGAGCGCGATCACCTACAAGGACTACACGACGGTGCTCGCGAAGGGGGACCTGCCCTGCTGCCTCGCCAAGTTCGAGACGGCGACCTGTGGCAGCGACTTCCGGGGCGCCGAGGCCTGGGCCGAGGCCGCGCTGGGGTTCGGCGGCGCGCACGACCACGCGCTGCTCAACGAGTGCCGCAAGGGCAAGCGCTTCGTCGACGTCTGCGGCGCGCCCCTCGAGAGCCTGCGGCCCCCGAGCCACGCGGGCTACGCCGACGAGCACATGCAGCTCTGGGTCGACGAGGACCCGCAGCCGTTCCACACGTGGGCGGCCGCGGGCGAGAGCGGGTCGAGCCTCGGCGGGCGGCCGACGCTCGCGACGCAGGCCGAGCGCCACGCGGGCGCCGTGCGCTACGCCGTCGACCGCTTCGACCGGAAGACGGCGATCCGCGTCGCCAAGGACTTCGAGCGCGCGCTCGCGGCCGCCGCGTCGGACCTCGCGCGGCCGCCGGACTCGCCGACGCCGCCGCTGCCGGGCTACCCGCCGCCGCCGCCGAAGCGGAGGCCCCTCTTGGGCTGCGCCGCCGGCTGCTTCCTGTCCCGGTAAACCTGTTACGCGTGGATGGTCTGGAGGTTGTCCATGTTGATGGGGTAGAGGAAGTCCACGTCCGCGACCTTGGCGCTCTGGGGCTTCTTCGTCCGGTAGGCGCCCTCGGACGGGACGGGCCTCGGGCAGCACTCGGCGAAGGTCGGGCAGGTCGGGCAGCACGCCGCGCAGTCGCCCGGCGCGAGGGCCGGGCACGCGCCGAACGTCGGGCGCGCCGCCTTCTCGCGGCAGCCCGTCAGGGCCGCGGCGCAGCCCCCGGCCGCGGGCAGCAGCGTCTCGTCGACGTCGTCGAGGGGGAAGGCGCTCCGCTGGAGGAACGCGCTCGCGCAGGCGAGGAGGCCCCGGCAGAGGCAGACCAACAGCGCGCCCGTCGCGTGGCGCCCGTAGCGCCACCGCTTCGCCCAGGGCGCCCAGGTCCCGAGGGCGAGGGTCAGGAAGTTGGCGAGGAACGCCGGCGCGAGCACGGCGAAACTCCGCCGGACGCGCAGGTCGTCGTCGTTCCTCGCCTCGATCGTCGCGACGGCCGCCGCCGCGACGACGAACGCCGCGCTCCGGCAGTACGTCAGCAGCTCCAGGTAGAGGTGGACCGCCCGGTCCAGGCTCGAGATCTCGAGGATCGCGAACGCGGCGATCGCGAGCGCGACCGTGCCGGCGGCGTACAGGGACGCGCACCGCGCGAGGAACGGCGAGCTGAAGAGCGGCGCGTCCCGCGGCTCGCAGGAGACGATCCGCCGCAGCGCGACGAGCGTCGTCGCGACGACGTCGTAGGCGCGGCGGCAGACGTCGCCGTCGGCCGCGGCCCAGGCGTCGTCCGGCAGCGCGAGGCCCGCGTGCGCGCGGAGCGCCGCGGCCTCGCAGACGGCCGCGACGCCGTCCGCGTAGAGGAACGAGCGCACGTGGAGCACGCCCGTCGACGCCGCCCAGGCCGTGAGCACCGGCGCCAGCGCCAGCGCCAGCGTGTGCCAGGGTCGCTTGCCGCCCTGGCCCCGGAACACGGCGGCGATGCGCTTGAACATGAGCAGAGAGGTCACGAGCGCGAAGAAGCCGGCGACGGCGACGGCCGGGCCGGACGGCCAGCGCTGCCTGCCTCCCCGGTACTGCTCCAAGAAGTACGGGAAGTCGTCGTTCGCATGCGTGCCGCGCCGCAGGTGCCGCGGTTGCCAGCCCATGCTTGTTGTCGGGGCTGCCCGACCGTTCAAGCGTCCATAGGTGAGGCGGAGGGGGGCAGCCAAACCGTTCAACAAGTGAAACGTCGACTGCGTGCATTTGGGAGCAGTCGCGTTGAAGAGCCAGGGATGTGCTCGGGCACCTAGTCGGGCCGCAAGGAGCTTGTGTCGGCGCCACCGATCTCGGCCGCCTTGGCCAGCGTCGCATCGCTGAGCGCGAGCGACGCGCCGCTCACCTCATCGAGTATGGTGGACTACTCGAGGTTCGATGCCATCGAGGACTCCGACGAGGAGACGGCGCAGCCTCGGCATCCCGGTATCCCGGAAGGCGTAAAAAAGTTGGTCGAGCGTCGGGCCGCCGCCGCCGAAACCGCGAAGAAGAAGGCGGCGGCATCGCCCGTGGCCGCCGCCGCGGGGGTCGCCTCCTGCGCGCTCTGCGGGCAGGCCGACGCGAAGAAGCGCTGCGCGCGATGCAACACGGCGTATTGCTCCGCGACGTGCCAGCGAGAGGCGTGGAAGACCCACAAGAAGGCCTGCGGCGAATCGCCCGACATGCCTACGGGCCAGGTCTGCGCGGCGTACGTGGAGATGATGCGCCATCCTGACGTCGTGAAGAACGTCGAGAACACGACGATGATCGATCCGCGGCAGGTGAAGATCGCCCTGCTCTGCGGCGTGAAGCCCGAGAAACTCGGGCCGCTCTTCAATCACCGCGAGGACAGCTGGATATCAGGCGGCGAGAAGAACTTCATCGCGGCTCTCAACGCGTCCGGGGCGGCGAAGAAGTCGTGCTCCGAGTCCTTCTACCATCGCGTCCTGTGCAGCGAGGGCTCGGAGGAACTGATGAAACTCGTCCAGAAAGGCCCCTCGGCCGTGGCCGCGGCGGGAGGCGTTCGTTCGAGTTTGAAGGACGGGGACACCAAGACCATCATATCTCAAGCTCTCGAGCGGGCCGGCCGGCGCCAGGAGGAGGAGAAGGTGAGCGAAGCCGAAGATTTCCGCCGCTTCGTCCGAGACATCGCGGCGCCGATGGGCTTTGAACTGACCGACGAAGCCCTCGAGGCTATGGTGGAGGAGAAGGGAATCTCGAGAACGAAGCGCGCCGAGCCGCAATCCCAGGAGCACCTGGCCGCCGCGGTCGAGGCGGGCATCGTCCACGAGTCTGTCCTGCGAAAGGGCCGGCGAAAAAAGGGGGAAAAAGGCGGCGCGGCGTGGCAGAAGGCGACGGCGGACGCCGAGGGGCTCCGCGCCGCGCTCGCCGCGGCCGAGGAGCTCGCCCCGGGCAAAACGCCCTCGTAATACACCCCTCGGCCCTCCTGCCCGGGCACCTCTAAGCCGACCCCTTAGCCGCCCGCCCCTAGGCGTTCTGCGTCTCGCGGAGGAGCCAGAAGCCCGCGGGCTCGACGCCGTCGTCCTCGGGCGACTGGACGACGACGAAGTGGAGGCCGCCGAGGCCCTGCTTGGCCTTCTCGAAGGCCGCGGCCTCGACGCGCTGGTCGTCGTCGAGCTTGGCGACGAGGAAGGACTCGTCGAGGGCGACGTCGAGGACGAGCTGGCGCTGGGCCGCGTCCGCGCGGACGCCCGCGAGCTCCGTCGACGCCAGACTCATCGCGAGCGCGTCGGAGCGCCGCGTGAGGATGGCGATGCCCGGGAGGAGCGCGTCGACCTCGTAGGCCGGCTTGACGTTGATGAGCTTGCCCACGCCCACGTTCTCCTCCGTGATGCCGCCGCCGGACAGCACCTCCGACAGCGGCAGCGTCACGAAAGCGTACTGCTCGCCCCGCAGGCCCTCGGGCAGGCGCGACGCCGTCACGGGCGCCGTCATGCGGTCGCGCGTCGCCGCGCCGGCGCCGGGGCTGTAGCCCTCCATGCCCGGGTAGACGTCGGCCTCGCGCTCCTCGATCCAGTCGTAGAGCGCGTGCGTCGCGCGGCTCGGCGTGACCCGCAGCGTCGGCCGGTTCGCGGCGACGCCGTTGAGGGCGATGGTGAGCATGTTGAGCATCTGCCGCCGGAAGAAGCGGATGACCGTCGGCTTGACGGGCGCGCGCGCGATGACGTCCTCGATGGCCTTGCGCACGGCGACCGAGTTGACGCCCGTCGCGGGCAGCGCCACGACGTCGCGCCACTGGCCCGACGCGTCGGTGATCAAAAGTTCCCAGAGCTTTTTGCCCTTGACGAGCACGGGGCGGCTGAAGCAGTCGAGCTCCCACTCGCTCGAGATGGGCCGCTCGCCGTGGCTGGCCTCGTCGCCCTCGGCGCGAACCGCGACGCGCGCGCGCCGAAAGCTCTCGCGCGGGGCGTGCGGCGACCGCAGCGGCCGCGCGACGCTCGACACCCAGCCCTCGGCCAGTCGCGCGCAGCACACGGCCGCCAGGGCGACCTGATAGAGCTTCATGCTGACGATCTCGTCGAGTCGATCCGGCGACGGCAACGAGCTCGAGGTGCCGCGCCCCTGGGACGATCGTGCCCTCACACAGAGCCTCGCTGCCCCGACCTGAGAGCGGCTGCGATAGAGCCGCGCGATCCAGTTCCGCGGCGGCGGCAGCCCATCGACATGGAGGTCGGCGAGCCGGCGGGCAGCCCATCCGACATGGAGGTCGTCGAGAGGCACGCCATGTTCGGCGGTGAGATGCTTACGTTCACGCACCTGTCGGCGTCCTGCGGCTTCGCGATGCGCTGCCGCGCCTTCACGCCGCCGGGCTTCTCGAGCGAGGCGCCGGCGACCTGGCCGTGCCTCGTCGCCCTCGGCGGCCTCACGGCCTCGGAGGTCAACTTCGCGACGAAGGTCGCGACGGTGCAGCGCGCCGCCGCGGAGCGCGGCCTCGTCGTCATCTTCCCGGACACGTCGCCGCGCGGCCAGCAGGACGACCCGCACCCGCTGCTCGGCGAGGGCGCTTCGTACTACGTGGACGCGACGGAAGCGGGGTGGGGCAACTGGAAGATGTTCTCCTACGTCACGAAGGACCTGCCCGATCTCGTCGTTTCGTCGTTCCGCGGCGACCGGGCGAGAATCGGCATCATGGGCCACTCCATGGGCGGCCAAGGCGCCATCGTCGCGTTTTTACGGAGCGACGCGTTCGTTTCTTGCTCCGCGTTCGCGCCCGTGTCGAACCCGAGCGCCATCGGGCCGGGCACGGCGCCGGCCTGGCGGGCCTTCTCGGAGTACCTCGGCGGCGGCGACGCCGAAGCCCCGGACGACGCGCCATGGCGAGACGCCTGGCGGAGCTACGACGCGTGCGAGCTTTTGAAACGCTACGACGGCCCGCCGAAGAAGCTCCTCGTCGACCAAGGAGCCGCGGACCCGAAGCTCAAGGTGCTCGGGTCGGAGCGGCTCAAAGACGCGGCGAACGACAAGGTCCAGCTGACCTACCGGCTCCAGGAGGGCTACGACCACGAGCTCGGCTGCTTCGTGGCTTCCTTCGCCGAGGAGCACGTCCACTACCACGCGGACGCGGTCGCCCCGCGGTCCGCCCTCGCGGCCCTCCGCGCGTTTCTCTACGTGTGACTCGGCTACTTAGGGGGGCGGAGGGCGCGCCGGGCCGCGCCTACTTCTTGGCCGCGTTGCTCTTGGCGATGGAGTAGAGCATCGTCGCGCCGATGGCGACGGCGGCGCCCGCGGCCTTGTTCTGGTCCATGGACTCGCCGAGGAAGGCGACGGTCGCGAGGAGGATGACGACGCGCTTGACCGTGTTGGCGACGGCCTGGGCCGTCGCGGAGACCTCGCCGAGGACGAGGTAGGCCATCTCGTTGTACATGTAGTAGAAGAAGCCCGTCCAGAGCACGAGCTCGTAGCCGAACGCGAGCGGCTCGGACGACAGCGTCGGCACGCCCATGATCTTCTCCGGGATGGCCTGCAGGTTCTCCACGGGCGGCCACGCGGCGGCGAGCTTGTTGCCCTCGAGCACGAGGGCGAAGGGGAGGAAGAGGAAGAAGGAGATGAGCGTGAGCACGGCGTACAAGTTCGAGCTCGTGAGGTTCTCGGACTTCGTCTCCGCCTTGACGCGCTTCGACAGGAGCCCGCGGAGGGAGAATGCCAGGTTCGACGTCATGGCGCCGCCGAAGGCGACGGGGTTGATGTCCCCGAAGACGTCCTCGCCGTTCATGATCTTCGTGCCGACGGCCGCCCAGCCGACGCCCGCGATGATCGGCACGAGCCAGATGTTCACCTTGAGCGAGTCGATCTTGCCCGTGAGCACGTAGCCGAAGAAGACGCTGAACATGGGCTCGAGCGCCTTGATGATGTGCGTGAAGGACACCGCGCCCGCGGACATGGCGACGACCGCGCCGACGTGGCCGACGGTGTGCAGCATCGACAGCACCGTGCACGCCTTGACGTCGTCGGCCGTGAGCTTCGGCGCCTTGCGCAGGCCCAGGATCCAGAGCGGCACGAAGTAGAGCAGCCCGACGCCGAGGGACGTCAGCGCGATGAGCATCGGGAAGTCGAGCGCCTTGGAAAGCTGCGACGGGGCGGCGCGCGTCGCGCGGACTCGTTTTCGCGGCGCGAGACGCCGCGGCGCGGCACCATCTTGTTGTAGACATTGTACCCGACGTTGAACGCGTACCAGAGCGTGATGCCCACGACCCTGCGCGGAACGGCGGTCCGGTCGCGACGCGTCAGGCTCGGTTGCAGTTGTTTATTTTCGGTTTGCCGGCGGCCGCGCGGGCAATTTTCGGGCGTACAGCGATCGCGGGTTGCTAGAGAGTTGCGAGAGACGCTGGAACGCGCAGCGTGGCGGACGGCATGGCTCGAGTTGGGTGGTGTTGAGATCGAGGCGGAGTCAGCGGGCGCTCGATCCAAAGCGAATCGCGCCCCGGCTGGCGGACCTTGATGTCTTCAGCGACGCCCATGTTGAAGCTCATCTCGTGCCGCCGAGGTCCGGCGCGGCCCCGAGCGACGTAGTGCTGCCTACCCTGTGCCCGATACAGTGAAATGCCTCAGCTTTGCTGCCTAGCACGCACCACGCGGATTCCCCGGGCCGGCGCGCGCCTCAGGCGAACTTGCCCGAGGCGGCCTGGTCCTCGATGCCGCACTCGTTGACGCCGCGCGCGATGCGGAAGAAGCCGCCGTCGAGAGCTTCATGCTCTACGAAATTCGAGGCTGGAGATGAAGTTCAACAAAACGCTAACTCACCCCCTGCCGCCAGTCGTCGACGAGCGCGCCGAGCTCGGCGGGCCCGTCGGCGAGGGCGAGGAGCGCCTCGAGGAAGAGGGGCAGGGGCATGGCGCCCGCGGGCACGTCGAGATCCCCCGTCGCGTCGAGGCCCGCGTCGCGCGCGCAGACGTAGTCGTAGAGCGCGCCGGCGCAGGGCGCGTCGCCCTCGGGCGTGACGGGCACGAGCACGCGGCCGCGGCCGCCGCGGACGCCCGCGGCCTCGCGGTCCGCGAGGTCGCGCGCCGCGCGGGACGCCGCCGTCGCCGCGAGGCCCCGGAGCGCCGCGGCCGCGGCGCCGCCGCGGCCCGCCGCGACGAGGCCCGCGACGAAGGCGGGCCGCGTCACGAAGGGCCGGCCGTGTCCCGCCGCCGCGAAGGCGTCGACGGCCGCGCGGAGGGGCCGGAGCGGCTCGAGGTCGAGGTCCAGGACGCCGTAGCCGCGCGCGACGGCCGCGGCGGCGCCCGCGGCCGCCGCGGCGTCGCCGACGGCGCCGTCCGCGACGGCGGCGAGCGTGTCCGGCGATAGCCGCGGCGCCGCGGCGCGCGCGGCCTCGGCCGCGGCCTCGGCGGCCGCGCTCGCGGCGAGCTCGGCCGTCGCGATGGCGACGGCGCCGTCGAGCGCGGCGCGCTTCACGGCGAAGTCGACGTTGCGCACGCCGTTGGGGATGTCGAGGGACGGGTTCTGGTTGCACTCGAGGACGTGGGGCGCCAGAGTTTCATCCAGGAGCACGTCGAGGCCGACGAGGTGGAAGCCTCGCGTCGCGGCGGACGCGCCGAACGCCGACCGGTGGCGGAAGGCGAGCTCGGGCCAGAGCGCCGCGACCGTCTTCGCGGCGACGGCGTCGAGCGACGCCCAGATGGCCTCGACGGCGACGCCCCGGTCCGCCGCCAGGCGCTCGAACGCGGCCGCCGCGGACCGCTTCGACGCGCGGTCCCCGCGGTCGTCGTCCGCTGGCACGAAGGCCGCCGCGTGGCGGTTCAGCGAGTAGTTCGTGAGGTGCATGAGCGTCGTGGCGACGTTGGTCGCCGCCGGCGCCGCGTAGGGCACCGTCGCGAGCCGCGCGAGGCCGCCGCGGCAGAGGTACGCGCGCGGCGGGTCCACGGCCGTGATCACGACGTAGAGCCGCAGGTCGAACTTGAAGCCGTCGAGCGTGCAGGGCCGCGGCACGTACCTCTGGCAGACCCAGTGGGCCTGCGTCGCGTAGGCGTGCTTCGTCGGCGGCAGCGGCTCCCAGGGCCTCGGCGGCGCGTACGTGAGGTAGATGTGGTCGCCCTCGGAGCCGCGGTTCGGCTTCATGATGTAGCACGAGTCCCCGTCGTCGGCCTCGCGGAGCGCGTGGGCCTCCTGGGGCAGGCACCAGCTCCGCGGGTACCACGCGTCCGCGGCGGCGCCGCACGCCCTCGCCGCGCGGGCCACGGACCGCGTGAGCGCGGCCTTGTGGAGCGCCTCCGGCAGCCCGAGGATGCGGTTCAGCGCGACGACGCCCGGGGCCAGGCCCGCGAGCGCCATGAAGTGGGGGTCCTCGGCGAGCGGCGCGGCGGCCAGGCCGGAGCTGAAGTGGAACATGACGAGCTTCCGCGGCGCGCGGAGCGCGGCCGCCGCGTCGCCGCCCGACGGCGCGAGCACGGCGACGTCGCCGCTCGCCGCGCCGAGCACGGCCGCGCGGAACGCCTCGGGCGTCGCGCGATCGCGCGCGCGGCAGAGCGACCCGCCGGCGTCGTGGACGACGCGCGTCATGAGCACGGCGCCCAGCGCGCCGGGCGCGAGGACCACGCAGGGCGGCCCGGGCGCCGGCGCCGCCGCGCAGGCCGCGGCGGCCGCGCGCGCCGCGCGGCCGAGCATCTCCGAGCCGGCGAACGCGCGCCACGCGGCGACGGCGCCTCGCGCGCGCCGCAGCCGCGCCCTGGCGGCCACGGCCGCCGCCGCGGCCTCGACGCGCTTCCGGTCCCGCTCGGCCTCGACGCGCGCGGCCTCGAGGAGCGACGACGAGCTGCTCGACGTCGCGAGCGCGGCGCCCTTGGGCCCGCGCCGGCTCGGGCGGGGCGGCGACGCGGGCGCCGCCGTGCGGATCGGCGACGCGCTGGTCGTTGCGCGCGTCGGCGACGCGGGCGCCGTCGCGCGGGGCGGCGACGTCGGCGCCGTCGCGCGGGTCGGCGACGTCGGCGCGACCGCGCGCGCGGGCGCCGCGCCCGGCGCGAGGGTCCGCGGCGGCAGCGGCGGCGCGCGTCGCCGCGGGCTCGTCGCGCTTCATGGGCTCGCGCTTCGCCGGCGGCGCCTTCCTCGTCGGCTTCCGCGGCGCGGCGCGCTTCGGCGCCTCGGGCGCCTTCTTCTTCTTCGGCGGCGACGCCGCGGGCGACGACGCGGGCGAGCCCCGCGCGGCGGCGCGCCTCTTCTTCTTCCGCGACGACGACGACGCCGTGCTCGTCGTCGACACGGTCTGCACGGTCAGCGCGTCCTCGGCGCGCGGCGCCGCGACGATGGTGCTCCCGTCGTCGTCGCGCGGCGGGATCGCCTCGACGGCCGTCTCCTCGACGTCGCCGGGCGCCGCGCCGCCGACCGCGGGCTCGTCCTCGACGGGATCCTCGGCGACGGGCAGCAGCGGCGCGACCTCGGGCGCCGGCGCCGGCTCCGGCGCGACCTCGGGCGCCTTCGCGGCGGCCGGCGCCGCGGCCGCGGGGAGCGGGTCGACGCGCCCCTCGGCGCGCGGGCTCGACCGCCACGGCAGCCACGACCGGGGGCTCTTCGCCGGCCGCGGGCTCGTCCGCGGGGACTGCTTCCGCGGGCTCGCGCGCGGGCTCGTCCGAGGGCTCTTCGTCGGGCGCGGGCTCGCGCGCGGCGTCGTCGGCGGAGACGTCGTCGGCGGCGGAGACGTCGTCGGCGGCGGAGACGTCGTCGTCGGCGGAGACGTCGTCGTCGGCGGAGACGTCGTCGTCGGCGGAGACGTCGTCGTCGGCGGAGACATCGTCGTCGGCGGAGACATCGTCGCGCGCGGCGATGGCTCGCGGGGACTCGCGCTCGCTTCGGCGCTTTCCGCGGGATCGATCGCGGCCGCGTCGACGCGCGGGCTCTTCCGCGGGCTGCGAAGGAAACGCGACAGCGCGCGCGAGTCCGCGACGGCCCGCGGGCTGCCGGCGCGCGGGCTCGCCCGTAGGAAGATCGGCGCCGCGGCGTCGGCGGGTCGCGGGCTCGACCGCGGGCTCGACCGGGGGCTGCGCAGCAAGCTCGCCAGCGACGTCGACGCGGCCGCGAGCGCCTCGAGCTCGCGCTCGAGGCGCCCCTTCGGCGGCGGGGCCGCGGGCTCGGGCTCGCGCGGCGCCTCCCAGGCCTCCGGCGGGCTCCACGCGCGCGCCACGTCCGGCGGCGCGGCGTCCTGGGTCGTGGTCTCGGCCTCGGGCGCCTCTTCGCGCACGGCGTCCGCCACGGCCGCCGGCGCCAGCGGCGCGACGTCGCGCACCGACGGCTGCCGACGCCGCGGCTTCGCGCAGACGGCGCCCATTCGCCTAAGGCATTAACATCGTTCTCCGGGATGATGAGCCATCAGCGCTGGCGTTTCGGGCCCTTCAAGGACCTGACAAGGTCGACAGCTCCGATCGTGGTTGAACCCAAAGATGCCGTAAGGCAGGGACAGTATAGTTCGCGATCGAGGGGCTCGACTCAAAACAGCGTCCGCGCGCGGGGCGGCCACGGTCGTGGCGTCGGCGGGGCGGCGGATGCGGGAGCGGCGCGGCACAGGGCCTAGGCGTGGACCTTGTCGTACTCGCTCTGGATCTTGGCCTTGAGCGAGGGGAGGGCGACGTCGAGGGGCGTCTCGTCGTCCTGGTTTTTCACGTCGATCTTCGCGCCGTGCTTGACGAGCTCGACGGCGATGGCGGCGTGGTTGAAGATGGCGCTGAGGTGGAGCATGGACTCCATCTGCCGGTCCTGGTAGTTGGCGAGGCTCGCGTCCTTCGCCAACACCCGCTGCACGCCGCGGAGGTCGCCGCTCTTGACGGCGTCGCGGAGGCCCTCGCCGGAGGTCTCGTACGTCTTGGCGGAGCGGCCGACGAGGAAGGAGGGCGCCGCGCCGCAGGGGGCCGCGGGCGCCGCGGCGGGCTTCGGCGCGGGCGCGGGCTTCGCCTTCGGCGGCGACGGCGGCGGCGGCGGCGCCGCCGCGGGCGCGTCGCCGAGGCCCGCGAGGGGGTCGCTGGACATGAAGGACGGGTCCCACTCGGGCGCCGGCGCCGTCGGTCGCGCCGGGGCCTCGGGCGCCGCCGCGCGCGCGGCGCCGGCCGTGCCGTCGCTCGACCGCCGGCCGCCCGCCGCGGGCTCCGCGACGAAGGCCGCGAAGGCGTCGCGCGTCCCCGGGGGCAGCTCCAGCGTCTGCGCGAGCTCGCGGATCCAGAGCTCGAGCCTGCGCGCGCGCGGGAGGCTCGCGCGAAGTCCGCCGCGCGCGCGGACGCGGCGCGCGCGGACTGGTCCTTGCGCTTGCTCGTCTGCGCGGGCGTGAGCTTCCCGAAGAGCTGCTTGCCCGGGAAGGGCTGCGCGAGGTTCCCGAGCTCGCGCGTGGCGACCTTGCGCAGGTCGTCGAAGGTGCTGTAGCGGTGCTTCACCGTCCAGACCTTGTCGCCCCTGCTCACCTGCAGCACGTAGGCCGTGTAGTCGTCGACGGTCTCGACGCCGAGGATGCGAATGTCCATGCGTCGGCGGCCGGCGCGGACGCGCCCGGGGCGGCCGACGGCTGTGGCGAGGGCCGCGGCGCCCGGTTCTGCGTGTTCGAGGACGGTGGTGGACGCGACCGCACTGTGGAGATTGTCGCTTCACCCAGCCTGCAACCGAGCTGCAATGCGGGCTACCCCAAAAAAGCGTATCAATCAGAGTCGATCGCCTCCAAAAAACCTCGTGGCCTCCATCCATCTCGGTCGTGCCCGCACAGATCCAGGTCCGTGTCCGCGGCAGCCCGGCTCCGGAATCGCGCGCGCTCTCGGCCAGCCTCCCTGCCCCGTCGCCGCCCGGCCGTCGCCGCCCAGCCGCCCTTTTTCCGCCGGCGACGAACGATACGGTAGGCTGCGCGACCATGGCGACGCGAGCGCCCGGGAAGGCGAAGAAGCGCATGAGCGCCGAGGCGCAGTACTTCGCCGAGCGGCGGTTCAGCAAGGATGACATCGTGCACCGCCACTCGAAGCACGGCTACGATCCCCTCGACGCTGCCTTCAAGCAGCTCCGCGACGAGGTCCGTCGGCCCCCCCCCCATCCCCCCCAAAAAGGATAC